CTTCAGTTGATGTCACGTGAATCAAAGCAAAGGGAAAAATTTTCGATAGTGTACATTATAGTAGGAAGGTCTTAAGAGCGACGGACAGGAAAAATCAAGCAAAATCACCATCTTGATTTTGTGTCAAGAGTCGAAAAATCGATTTCTTTAATTTTTTATCCAAAACCGAACATTATGGCGCGACATAATGTAATTTATATCGAGGCGTGGTGCGCACGTGATATTCCGCTGGGGTTGGCTTGTACCAGGCACGGATTCGATACTAGCATTAGTTTGGCCAATCAGGTTTAAAGTAGGTCACATGCCTAGTATATGAGAGACAGTTTCAGCGAGATATTCTTCCTTCCTCCTCTCGCCATCAGATTGAACAGATCCCCAGAAAAACTTTTCCCGCCTCCTCCCCATTTCACCACCTCCCAGCGATTTATCACGTTTAATCCATCCTGTCACTTTTTAAGGCTGGCGGTATTTTGTCGCCCCATTTGTGAACAAGACATTATATACCAAAATGTTTACTGCTGTGTTTGAATTTTGCTAATGGTTCGATTAAACCTAGCCACAATCGTGGCCAAATTTATTCCAACAAAGTGGTTTCTTATTGCTACTTCCGGGGAATTAGCTCTTAAGTGGTTTCTCAACAAAGCTCGCCCCTTCTAAGTGGGCCACTTTAGATCATATTTGACATGAAAACACGGCTCGATATAAAATTAGATTTTTGGTACCTTAGAAACCTGATGTAAACTTTTCCCGCCAAAAGTCTTTTATTTTTTCAAGGATTATTCGAAAAAAACGGCGTCAGAATTAATGGCGTAGATTTTAGCCTGAAATTCGCCGACATCAACTTTCCTCGTGTTCGCAGACAGATCGAGTCGCACGGAGAAATTTGGATGCTCTCTATCAACAGGCTTTCCATCGACAAAAGCTTTTTGCAAGACCAATTAATAGCAGCAGATTTCTTATCTACTTAAAAGCTAATCGACAATTGAGAGAGAAATCGATTTTTTTATCTCCTGCTACTCGATGATCTGGATTTCCTGATCGTCACCCTTAATTGTTCCAAAGAATTCTGTTTCAAATATAAAAAATGAGAGGAAATGAAAAACGTAGAGATTTTTGAAAACGTTACCGCCAAACGGACCTTTTGCGTCAAACAGTTTTTTTTCGGGCAAAAACTATCTTCAAAGTAGCCATTATAAAAACCAAGAGTGCAACCATTCCTTTTTTTCTCTTCTCCTCCTTTCTTCCTTCTCGCCCTCTTTTTTCCTTTCTTTTTCCTTCTTCAGTGTTCTGTTGCAACTTATAGGGCCCAAAAAGTCTGCCTTTTGAGGCATTTTCACTTAAATGACTGCAACTTCCGTTAGGTTGGTTTTTAAAAATCGGCTAGATATATATTATATATCTATATTTGAAATGGCCGAAATGAGAAAATGTCTTTCTTACCGAGATAAAGTTTAAATGACTACTCATGATCATTGGAACTACTAAACTAATTCAATTTACAATACACTGTATACGTCTTACAGGTCTGGAAAAAAATGAGCGCTTTCCATTCAGCCCAAAGTTTCGGAAATTTCGGTTAGAATTCAAATAGAACGATCTATTTCGGTTCGGTTGGACAGGAATATTTGGGACCGCCTTTGAAGGTAGCCCACTTTGGTTGCCTCGGTCCCGCTCCCCTGTATCCTCCCTTTAAGTACAAAGACCAACCGCTCGGTGGCTTGGGTCGTGTCCGTGGAACCAGAACGTACCGTTCCACCCGGCTAATTGAATTTCCGAAATTTCAAACCGGAAATTTTGTTGAATGGAAAGCATTCCACCATAAAAGCTAGACTAACCGCAACCTGCTGATAAGAGTTTGACATCATGGCAATCAGCATATTAATGGCGACCAAAACTGATATGATGCTGAACAGGGCAAGGAGTAATTCACCGGTGACCTGAGTGATGATGAAGCCTGAATCTGTCACGGCCAAGTCGCTCACCTCGGACATTCCAAACAAATTCCAAAACAAGAACCTTAAGCCTCCTTCAACTCTGAAAGGATCAGATTGTCGGTGAAAACGTAATTTACTAAAGCTACAGTTGATTCCCAAGGCAGACGCCTTACTGTAAAGTCTTTCTTTCTATGGATGAAAATCTGGGGTGTGACCTTTCAAATGAATCTTTTTTGGTAATACTGTGACACGGTAATATTATTTTGCTTCGTAGTTATTTACAAAATTTTACTTATAATTTGCTAAGAGTCTTAGCTTCTCCTAGACTTAACAAGCAATAACATGATGACTTGTCCCGTGGCAGGTTCAATTGGAAACATACGTCCAATATAGTCTTAACTGAGTTTAATAATATTATTTCTCTTTAATAGTTACGAAATCTCCAATTGTCAACTTTTATCTCCGAGTATTGTTACTTGTTGAACAATTTCTTATTAGAGTGTTGGGAAGCCTGTGCCTCCCATAAGGCGTAGCGGTCTTAAAGCAAACTCGAGGAGAATGTGCCTCCATGTTTGTTGTTGTTTTTATTAACTGTACTGCGGATTTCCAAAAGCTCCTACATAATGTGAGTTCTCTAGTTGGAAGCAACGAAAGTTTGGCGTTCGAAATTCCCGTGGTTACTTATTGCTTGTATATTTTCGTTTTAGCGAATCGTGCAAAGGTTGAGAAGAGTAAGTTGGATCTGACCTGATCAGGGATCTCGATTGTTGGATCGAGGTTGAGAATGAATGACATAAACTGTGGATTTGCGACCACATTTCATTCGATTATGAGCCAGGAAAAGGTGGATAAAGGCGACACGGAGATGAATGTACATGGCGGCGAGATCGAGGATGCAGAATTGGATCCCGAGAAAGAGAGAAGTCTGGATCCTGTTGGGCGAACGAGAAGGGTAAATATGCAAGACCGGGAAGATTTTGAAGCCGAAGAAATGTCTCAGGCAAGGCGCTCGCCTGGAGGCTATTTGGCTCGAGTAAGTACAGTCATAAATCAAGTTAAAATCGGTATTGCCGAGGCACGTGAATGTGAGGAATCTTGTGAAGTTAAGAAGAACCTTGAACAGGCATGGGCTCGATATAGTGACACATACCAGAGTTATATCCTTAAAAACTTGCCTGTTGAGGAATTTGAGCGTGTTGAACAGCGTTACAGTAAGATTTATGACGATTACTCTCCATGTGTAAAGACAGTTGAAGATTATTCACGCCCAAGTACACCTCGCACTTTAAGGAGTAGTTTAAAATCGTCTAATATGGAACCTAAATTGTCATCGATAACTTCAAGTCAAAGTCGTCCAGATCTTCGAGATCTTCAAAACTGAAGGAAATGAAGAAAAACGTAGAATTACAGAAATCATGGCTAAACAGGAATTAGAGTTAGCACAGTATGAAACAGAAATGGAGAAGAGAAAAATTGATATCGAAATGCAAAAGGAGAAAATTGTCAGAGAAATGAGATTTAAATTTCAGTTAGAAGAAAAGGAGGTTGATTTGCTGGCTTTAGAGGATTATGAAAATGCATCTAATGAAGATAATTCGGTTGTAAAGAATGAGTGTGACAACAGATTCTTTCTTGAACCTCAACCACCAAAACCGGAACGAGCAGCCGATTGGGTTGCCAACTGTCAGCAGGAGACTAAACCATTGAACCTCAAAGCCGTCAAATTTGCTCCACAGTTGGGCACGAATTCAATACAGGCGGTTTTGTTGAGAGTCACAACACTTCAAGAGATGCAGCCGGTAAAGTTTAGTGGAAGTGCAGCAGACTTTCCATTCTTTAGAAGAAGGATTCTAGACAACTTGGAAGATGGCTTGTTATCTAATGCTCAAAAAATCGAATTTCTTCCGAAGTCTGTGACAGGGGTAGCATATGATGTTGTAGCAAGATCAGCAGCGTGCTCATATGATGATATTGTTGCAAATTTAGAAGATCGCTAGGGCCAACCAGCTACGGTCATGGCTGCCTGTCAAGAGTTGACAGTGGGACCAAAACTGGGAAATGGAGATTTCAAGGGTCTACGTAACTTTGCAGAACAATTTCAGTATGCCACCAAGAGATTACAGGGGGACTATGAAAGCGAAGCAAGCACTACTGCGGATATGAAGTTAATCGCTGGTAGACTACTTGATCAAAAAGTGGGCCGACGTATCATATTCCACTAGAGAAAAGTGAAAGAATCCAGGTCTGGAAGATCTTGCCAAGGTGGCAAACGACAAGCTGCGATTAAGAATGACCCAGGATTTGCAGGTGCTGTCCTGATGACAACCACAGGAGACAAGAGCAAACAGAAACAGAATGGAACAAAGGACCCTCCAAATCCAAGCCGGACATCATCCTTTGCACCTGATGTCACCGCGAAAGACACTGGAAGAGGACTTCGAACAGGTGATAGACACAGTAAGCCCCCACCCGGCGTGCAGAACCGTTTGTGCTGCTCAGGATTACACGAACTGTCTTCATGCCCTGAATTACTAAACAAAGCTCTCCAAAGCCGCTTGGATATTGCGAAACGTCATAGGTTGTGTCATGTTTGTATGATACCAGGACATCATAGAGGCAGGTGTGAATCCCAAAGGTTCTGTCCGTGTGGGAGTGACAAACGATACCACAGACCTCCTCACAACCCCTCAAGGGGAGACACTGCTGAAACCAACGGAGGGAATCAAACTCGTGAAGGAGGACAACCTTCTGGAAAGACACCAACCCCAGGGAATGGTGAGCAGCCGAACTCTACTGAAGTTAGGAGCACAGTGCAGTATGCAAACGTGACAGAGCCGACTAAGAAGAAGACCATCCTGCTTCATGTGATACCTGTGAAAATCTCATCGTCAAATGGGAAGTCCAACACCACTTACGGATTGATAGACTGGCTCACGTGGAACCATGTTAGTTCCGACATCGCCAAGGAACTTGACCTGAAAGGTCGGAAGGAGGTGGTGTCTGTTAGCACGCCTTTGCAACAAGAAGATGAAAAGTTTGAAGTTGTGGAATTCGAGTTGCAGTCCGCTAGTGGAGAAGGAGAAGTCATCACCGTTGAAGAACGGCTTGTAACAGAGAAGTTCAACATCGCAGAGAAGTGCCTTCCTGAAGATATTGACAGGAAATCACACCCACACCTAGTGGATATTGAAATACCTGTAGTGAAGTTGAGAAAGGTGTCAGTACTCATTGAAAAGGATGTCAGTAAAGCTATGACGTTCTTGAAGTTCGGAAGTCGAATAAGCCTGATAGCCAACTGAAAGGTCTGCAAGACCCTTTAGGCTGGGTCATAACTGGAACAATTCATGGTTCACAGAACCATAGGAACTTTTCAGTGAACTTTGTCACATTTGACAAGAATTTACATGACCAAGTGGAGACGTTTTGGGAACTTCAGGGGTTTGGAACGAAAGCGGCGTTGAAGACCAGAACGGATAGCGGAGCAGATTGTAGGCGTCGAGACCTCATTTTGTCCAGAGAGGATATGTAGGCGGTGGACATCCTAGAGAGAACAACGAAACTTACTGCTGATGATGACCATGAGAAGGAGCTGTTGTGGAGAAGAGATGATGTTCAGCTGCCGAACAACCGCAGGGAAGCAGAAATAAGATTACAAAGTTTAAGGCGAAAATTCCATAGAGATTCTAGTCGTCAAGAGAAATATCGTGCTACCATGGAAGATTGCATAGCAATGGGATGCGCCCGTAAAGTGTCAGACGAAGAAGCTTCCAAATCCGGTCCCAGAACCTGGTATCTTCCCCATTTTGCAGTCACCAGCAGCAACAACCCAAACAAAGTCAGGATAGTCTTTGATGCTGCCTCAGAACACGGGGAAACATCTTTGAATAAGAACCTGCTGCAGGGCCCTGATTACACAAACAGTTTAGTTGCAGTCTTGTTGAGATTTCGCGATGAGAATGTAGCTCTGGTTTGGGAAGTGAATTCCGTCCAGAAGACCAAGATTCACTAAGATTTCTGTGGTGGAGTGGAAGCATAGATGAGGCGCCCCAGGAGTAAGTAATGACAGTTCACATATTTGGAGCCACAGACTCACCTTGCTCAGCTAACTCTATCCTTTTGAGAACCGCTGATGACAATGAAGAAAAGTTTTGACCCTTCTACTATAGACACTCTTAGACACAACTTCTATGTTGATGATCTCTTAAATCTGTACCTACACCGGAAAACGCAATCACGCTTATGGAGCAATTGATAGAACGTTGTGCTAAGGGCGGATGTAATCTGACAAAATTTGTAAGCACCAACCGCAAGGTTTGGTCTGCTATACCTCGGGCAAAGAGAGCTGAACCATCTCTAGATGTCAATCATGATGAGTTGCCCTTCGACAGAGCACTTAAACTTCATTGGCCTATACTGTCAGACACGTTTGGTTTTAAGGTCTTAGAGCTGGGGAAGAGAAACACAGTGAGAGGAGGTTTATCGACAATCTGCTTGGTCTTCGACCCACTGAACCTTGCTGCGCCTGTACTGTTGCCTGCGAAGCAAATCACGCAAGAACTGTGTAGAATGAAAATATTAAGGGCGTGAGATCAACCCCGCGAAGGAGAATTCCTCCAAAGATGGTTGGCAAGCGTGAAAGTCCCCAGATGTTACTTCAGTCGGACTGACCTTGAAGGAGCCACACTGCAGCTTCATCGTTTCTGTGATGCGTCCGAAGTTGGCTACGGTACTGCTACGTACCTACGAATTGCCTACCCTGATGAGAAAATAGAATGTGCATTTATTGTAGGAAAGTCCAGGAACTGTCAGCACTCTTTGCTTTGAGCTGCAGGGAGCTCTGTTGGCTGCACGTGTTAATCTTGCAGTGCGAAAGGAACTGAACTTTAAGTTTGAACTAGTGTTCTCTTGAAGTGACTCTTTGATTACTCTGAACTATATTCACAACGAGAGCAGGCGATTTCAAACTTATGTGGCAAATCGAGTTGGAGAGACACGAGACCTCACAGCAGAACAGTGGAGACATTGTCCTGGCAAACTGAACCCTGCTGATGAAGTTAGTCGAGGCCTTGAGATGAATGAATCTCTGAAAAATGAGCGCTGGCTGAAAGGCCCATCCTTCTTTCGTAGAAGTGAGGATCACCGTCCAGAAACCAAGTTCGAGAAAGTTACGGAAGAGAAACTTGAGGTAAAGAAGGAAGTGCACGAGAAGTTGTTATCATGGTACAGAAGGGAACCTTTCCGTAAGAGTTGAAGGAAGACGTCAAGCAATATTGTGAAGCTTAAACCAGTGATCATGGGTGATGGTGTCTTGCGAGTTGGTGGTAGGATTTCGAGAGCCCCTATAGCTCCTGATGCAATGAATCCTGTGATCCTGCCAAAACATCACCATGTCACTACGATTCTGATACGCTATGTCCATGAGAGAAATGGAAATTGTGGAGTCGAGCAAGTATTGTCCCTTCTCCGAGAGCAATTCTGGGTGATTAAAGGAAGAGCAGCAGTGAAAGAGGTTATTGGGAGATCTATATCCTGCAAGAAACGGATAGCGCCAAGGATGACTCAAGAAATGGCAGAATTACCGAAGATTAGGCTGACAACGTACTAGCCACCGTTCACGTATTCAGGAGTTGACTATTTTGCCCCTTTTTACGTGAAGAGACGAAGGGGAAAGGTTGCAGAGAAGAGATGGGAAGCCATCTTTGTATGTATGAATTCTCGAGCCGTCCATCTTGAAGTTGCTAGGTCCCTGGAAACAGATAACTTCATCTTGGTTCTGATGAGATTTCTCAATCGAAGGGGACATGTGAATGAGCCTCGCTCCGACAGTGGATCGATGGGGCTGATCGGGAACTTAAAGAGGCTATTGAACAAATTGACAAAGAGAAAGTGGGAAGAGAGTTGCAGCAGCGAGGCTGTAAGTGGGTGTTCCACCCTCAAGGCACATCGCACATGTCCGGAGTCTGGGAAAGACTTGTGAAATACGTGAAGCGGAGCCTGAAGGCTATCCTTGGTAAAGACCTCATCAACGAAGAGGTACTCCAAACAGTATTTACTAAAGCTTAACGAATTGTTAACTTCAGACTACTGACAAGAAATACGTCAAGCCCGAATGACGATGAACCCCGCACACCCAGTCATTTCTTAAACATTCGTCCCACGGTTAATCTACCCCCAGAAATGGTTGATGACAGCGACAAGTTTATTCAAAAGCGATGGCGCCAGGCACAGCTCCTAGCTAACCACTATTGAAAGTGTTGGCTAAGAGAGTGCATTCCCTCTTTACAAGAATGCCAGAAGTGGCATAAGACACAAAGGAACTTGCAAACTGGAGAGCTAGTACTTATTGCCGACGATAATGTCCCACGACGTCTGTGGCCAATCGGACGAGTAACCAATATGTTTCCTGGATCTGACGGTTTGGTCAGAAGTGTACAAGTGAGGGCCAAAGGGTCAACGTACAGAAGGCCAATCACCAAGATTTGTTTACTGGAACAATTAGGTTCTGGAGAAATTCTGTGAACAGAAAGTCTTTGAAACAGAAGCGATCGACTATGAACTTTCCCTTAACATGTGCTTTCATGTGGGGCGGAATACTGTAACCTTTGTTACCGAATATTGTTACCTGTTGAGCAATTTTTTATTTGAGTGTTGGGAAGCCTGTACCTCCCATAAGGCGTAGCCGTCTTATACCAAACTGGCGGAGAGTGAGTCGCCATGTTTGATGTTGTTTTCATATTAACTGTACTGCGGATTTCCAAAACCTCCTACATAACGTGAGTTCTTTATTTGGAAGAAACGAAAGTTTAGCGTTCAAAATTCCCGTGGTAATTACTTATTGCTTGTATATTTTCTTTTTAGCGAATCGTGCAAAGGTTTAGAAGAGTAGATTGGACCTGACCTGATCTAGATTGTTGGAGTTTGAGAATAAATGACATAAATTGTGGATTTGCGACTACAGCATCAGATATAAAAATAATGAAATAAAATGAAGAAGGTCAACCTGTTCTCAGGTCGCTGGAAGGAAACAAAAGGCCGGTCTGAATTGGTTAGCACATGCACCAATCTTATCCCGTACCTAGTGCATAACTTAAAAGCTATTTTTCACATCTCGAATTACCTTGGATCGCAGGTCGCAATCGGTTAATCCCTCAACTTAGGGTCTCATCTGATCTGACGGCTCACACGTGAACCGGTTCAAACCCTGAGAAAGCCAGGGTTAGTAATTATTTCTTCCTCGAATAAGTGAGAGCTCGAAGTGATCTCGAGATCGAGATATGTGGAACTAATTCCGCTCTCACTTCGTCAAATAGCTGACTAAAACCGAAAACCTACTGACTTTGCGTGCCCAATCTTGTCCCCAAAAAGCAACTTTGGGACATTCCTGAGCGTCGCGAATCCTTCACTTCACGCCCCGCCGAAGTAATAATGGATTTTATAAAATAACTAAGATAGCATGCGCGCTCTGATTGGCTGAGAGGAGTGTTAACATGAGATTATGTAAACATGGTTGTGGCGTCAAGATGTTTTGCTTTTCGCGCGCTAATTACGCAAGCACGAGTTTGAAAAAGTTTTCAAGTTCAAAACTCGACAAGTTTGCTTTATTTACCCATTCCTGAAACTTGGAAAATCGTTGCAAAGAAAGTATGTCAATTTTTTTTCGCTTAAGCTGACATTTTAAGCGAGAAAAGTCCGTATTTTGGAAAGCATCCTTCTGCAAAACAAGAAATGATTACGCGTGCAAGACTTCGTGGACAAGACTTTGTGACTGGTAAGAATTTCTCTTTTAATCAGTGCCATACAGAGAGTTTTGCGTCTTTTCTTGGGAAATTTATTCTATAAAAGCAATAGAAAATTTTTTTCCTGTGTTGCATAGCCTGATATAAATACTCGAGGCGTTGGGAGAATTCAAGACAGTTATGCAAACCCTCAACTTCGTCTCGGGTTTGCATAACTGTCTCGAATTCTCCCAACCTCTCTCGTGTTTATATCAGGTTATGCAAACAGGGACAACGTTTTCTATTGCTTAAGTATAATGATCTGCTGGGTAACCCCAGAACTCATGATAGCGTCCCTGAGGGCGATAAATACTCACTTTGAAAATTTATGTGTTGTTGTATTTGCAACAAATGTTGTTCTGGCATGGACGTAGCCCGAGTACACCTTTCTTTCCGCCCAGGCGAATGCAACAAACAGCAGCAGGAACAGGAACAAGAATTTGGCGATGTCTCGAACCATCTTGACAAGGCAAAGCTGCAGCGGGCCGAGCATCGAGTTGACCTGCAATGAGTTGGAAATTTGAAAAAAGGCCAAAATCGTACCGAAGGCGAAAAAGGCATTGGACAGTAGGATCAAACGATATTCCAGCGCCTTTGCACTGCTAACTGATGCTGCTTCCTTAACTCCCGAAACAACTAGAAGTTGTTCGATGAACCAAAGGACTCCTGAAATTACAAAGAGACCCAGCATAATTAGGGTGACCAAATTCCAGTACTGCGACAGGTAACGCTCTTTTCCTTGACGATAGGCCTCCTTTCCTTCCTGAAATAGCATACCAACGACCCACAACGAGATAAAAACATCTAGAAGATTAAAAAAAGTCATTTGCATTATTATTTATTATAACAGAATACACAGAAAAACTCTTACCCTGAAAACTTTAATATAGTTACATTAAAAATAACCTGTTTCTGATGAGCCTCCCAAGCAGACGTTCTTCGGGCCTCGTCACTCGTTCCTGCATGTGAGGCTTAATTCTGATTGGCTTTCTTAAGTAATAAATTTTTGCTGTTACGACTGCAAATTGTAAAGGCATGTTGTTTCCCGTGTTTCTGTCGCTTAAAAATGTGCCATGCTTGAATGCCTAGAACGCGTGCTCTCGATCTACTGTGACTCGAAACAAATAATAAAGACTGCTCGCAGTCTATCCAGGAAAATGCTCTCGATTTTTCGATGCAACGTTAAGACAGGTTAAGAAAAGAAAAGGAATTGACAATCTAGCTTTACTCTTTGGACAGGCGTTTGTAACAACAGTACTACAACCATAAACATTACTTGGAATTTCATGAGTATTGACTACCTGCTGTTGTGTTGTGTCAAATTCAATTAAGACAGGTGCGAAGATTGAGACAGTAATAAGACTTTGTTATTTGAATGAGAAGTAGGCCAGGAGGAGAGAGAACAAGACAAATGTAATGGTGTTAGTGATGCTAAGAGTGCAATAGAAATCTGTTGGCATTGGTGATGGTGGGAAACAATAAAAATGTGGTGGTGGTGGTGATGATGGTGGGAAACAATGGAAATGTGGTGATGGTGGCGACGTTGGAAACAATAGAAATCTGGTGGTGGTGATGGTGGCTATGGTGGGAAACAATGGAAATGTGTTGCTGGAGTGAAACAGTAGAAATGTGGTGGTGTGATGTTGATAGAGGGAAACAATAGAAATGTGGTGCTGGTGGGAAACAATGGAAATGTGGTGATGGTGGCGACGTTGGAAACAATAGAAATCTGGTGGTGGGGATGGTGGCTATGGTGGAAAACAATGGAAATGTGTTGCTGGTGTGAAACAGTAGAAATGTGGTGGTGTGGTGTTGATGGTGGGAAACAATAGAAATGTGGTTGTTGTCTGTTGTTGTTAAATGTTTGAAGTATGTTTCTTTGTTTTTATTCTTTCTTATCATTGTTGCTATTTTTAAACGTAAATATTTTGTGCGCTATATTTTTAATACATCTTTATTTATTTATTTTTTATCAACTCAGTTGACATACAGTAGGTGCACGTCAGCATTTCGCTGCCATTTTAACAAACCTGCTTTATCAAATAAACTACTTCTACTACTCCTCCTCCTCACCGGCCAAACCTTGATCGAAACCTTTTGACAGAAGTTCTGCTCACTCTCAACATAAAACCAAAACTTATCCAGCAGAAACAAAAACAGAAAATGTTTACCTAAGGGTGAAAACGCAAAAACATCGTCAAGGAACTTGTCTTGAATCGAGGAGAGAATCAGGAGAACAAGGAACCAGAGAAACGAGGCGGTGTGACTCATGAATTTGAGGACTGGTGTGTTTAGGAGTTTACTGATTCGACAGTTGGGTGCCACCAAATAGCACAGTGCAAAGAAAGGTAGCATCAGCCACAGCAGCAGGAAACAGACGGTATTCTTTAAGAAATGTAGGTCTTTATATCCCCTTACGTTATCGTAGAGCACTGAATTCAGCATCATTTGGCTGTAAGGATGAGCCACAAACTAACAGAAAAAGTACAAACAATTAGTTACTAAATGATGGCGACAGTCACCTGATGCAATAAGCCTGACACGCGAAACCAAAAACAGTTTCCTACTAAATACTCTGGCTATCCAGAGTACTTTAAGATCTCTAGTAATGGATGCTAAGCGGTGTTTTAAAATTTGTATCTGTTCGATCGTCCTCAAGGTAACTTGAGTATTTTTGAAATCACAAGGGCAGTATCAGTTCCCGAAAATTTTAGGTACACTTTAGATTTTTACGAACGTGAAAATTTTTCTGATTCCCCTCTCCGTCTCATTTTCGAATTTTAGGTTTTCGTTTTTTACAAAAAAATAGCATAACCTAGGGAGCGAAATGTGAAAAGTTAAATTGCAGAATATAGTTAAGAATTTATTAGATACGCTGTGAAAGGTTTGAACCCAGGAGTCATTTCAAAAGTAGGTTGAGTTTGATCGTCCTGGTGAACGTAGTCCTGAATAGGACTGTTGTTGTTGACAGTGACTGACGTTTCGACAACCTGTGCGATAGTCATCTTCAGAGTCAAAGTGAGTTGTATCACGTCAGTTGATGGTATTATACTCTGGTTGTTGATCTAATTGGTCTGTCAGTTAAGCCGTGATGTTATTGGCTATGAAGACTCGTGATCAGTAATTAGTGCATTTCGACCCGTCTATTGTCACAGTTAAACAGTCGTCTATCGTTAGTCAAATTGTCAGTTCTTCCGTCGTTTTCTCGTAGTTAGTTTTGCTTGATCTCGTCAATAAGTCGTTTGTACGGCGCTGGTAACTGTTGGCTACGATTCAGTGGCGTTTGTATTAAGTTAGTAAACCAGCTTCCTAAAGTAATACGTTGATAGTAGTCTGTAGAATACGTCACACATGTCGCAGAGTCCAAGTCAATTTGATGTTTCGTCTGTAAATGGTGCTCAGCAATGTGATTGTTGACGTCACCATTCCTCGTCGCTCGTTTGTGTTCGGTCAGTCGCGTGCTTAGGTTTCTGTCGGTTTCACCGATGTAAGAAGCCTGGCAGTCGCAGCATTTGATCTTGTATACTGCTCCCTGTCTGTCCTCCGGTTTGTCTTTGTCCTTAAAATTAGTAAGCAGTCGCCGTAAAGTGGTTATCGGTTTGTGTGCAACACGTATATTGTAAGGTTGTAATATACGTGCAATAGTTTCAGAGGTGCCTCTGATGTACGGTATAGTCGCTGTCGTAACAGGGCCAGCGTTGGTCTCGAGTGTTGGAATCAGTGTTACTGTGAGTGTTCCGTCTAACAAAGTCCATGTTGTAATTGTTCTTGCTAAAAACGTTGTTAAGATAATCAGTCTCGTCTTGTAGGCTGTCAGGTGAGTCGCAAACTGGTTGCGCTCGTCTCGTCAGAGTCCGGATAGTAGTAGCCTCCGAAGAATATTTAGTTATAAATTTGGCTGTAGAGAGAAAACTTTGAGAGATTTTCTTCCTTCGAGGAGTTCATCTCTGGAAACAGTAAACACCACGCAGGGAAGCCGGCTTAACACATAAACTTAAGCTTTACGCTTAAAGACTCAGGATTTTTAGAGACTCTTTAATACTTATCTTCGTGAATGAAAATTGTTGTCTCTGTAAATGTTTCACCGAATTATATTTCTTTTATTGATTGTTAGTAGACTCTCTTGCAATTTTAGTCGCTTGTCCGTGCCGTTTGTTTTCATCGTTCATGAACATCGCTTGCAGGAGTACTCAAAAATGTCGCGTGTATCAAACGCTTTATAAGATTACACATCGTTATAACTGAAACCATTAAATAACAAAAAATAGTAATAATAAATTCGTTATTATGTTGAAGCGTAACTCTATTAAAGTTCATTCAAACACTCGACCACACTGACAGCTCGCACTATAGAAATGAGAACCGGCTGGCCGTATGGGTGATTTTGGAAATTTTTTGAACGGTTTCGCTAAAAGCCCACGATTGATCGTCCTGAATATTGACTGAGTGCAATTTGTTTTGAAAAATTGTGAAATACCGCATTCTGCCCGAGGTCTGTTTGATAAATAGTACTGTTTCACCTCAGATGTGATGTATAAAAAGTATAAAAGGTTGGTTTTTACACCCCCAGATTTGTTGGCAAAAATTTTTAGAGTACACCTGTCGAATGCAAAAAAAATCGGCCTGAATTGTTTTCAAAGAATTTGTTTTCCAGGCCTAATTTACTGTGATTTTGAATGTGATCGAAGATGTTTGCTGTTTTTTGGGTGTACATATAAGGCTATCAACTCGATGTAAGATGCTTCACTCTAAAATAACTTAGCCTTTCCCTCAAAAGTCACATGAATGTGCCCTTAAGTTAACTGATTTGTGGATTACAAGTTTATTGTCTGATTTAAATTATAGCTTCGCTTTTAACCCTGGCTAAATCTATATATTACTTACACAAATTTATCTTTCTTGTAAAAACATTATAACACGTACATGTATTACACATAGACTAAACTTTATTAGTAAAATCCAACTAGTGGTCTGTTGTCAATGCTGCGTTCTGATTGGTTAAGCTACTACTAGGCTATATGTTAGAGCCCACTAGTAGAGAAAAACGCCGGCTTTGAACTGACCAGACTATTGCCTATTGACTATTGGGCTATTGACTCAGAGCCCATTCGGACACTATGATAGCAGAGCTCTGGCGCGCGAAGCGCGCCTGCGGAGCATCATGGGTAAGTAAATCTACCCATCCCAGAAAATTTGGTAATCACGTGACCGTACAACGTCCGCCTGCCCGCTGCCCGCCCGTCCGTCCGCACCACAGGGCAATCAATGCCAAATCTCACCCTTTCTAGCTAGTTTGGGAGCACAGGAAGACTGATATTGCACACATATTGCACATCAATGTTGTGATCAATTGACATCTGCTGTATCTGCTGACCAGTATCAACCGAACGTATCGCGGGCTCAGGTGTCGACCCATCGAGGTCTAGTATCTTTTTGAAGTTATCCGCTTACAAGTTACTAGTTTTTAAATGATTGCAGGCTCAAGTTTTTTTTTTTTTAATTTATATGAAATATGTTGTGTTTTATATGTGCCACTCGAAAAGCCTGTAAATCACTCGCCTTTGGCTCGTAATTTACAAGCTTTTCTCGTGTTGTCCCAACATCCCGCGTGGGTTATCACGCCGGTAAACCCATAGAAAGTGTGGTCTATTGCTTAATAATCTTAATTTAAACAGACGACTTTGGCGCTTGTCAAAAGTGAGAACCGGCTCGCCGTATAGGTGATGTTCGAAATTTTTTTAACGGTTTCCCTAACGCGTGCTTCGATCGTCCTGAATATTGAATGAGTCCAATTTGTATTGCAAAATTGTGAAATACAGCATTCTGTCCGAGGTCTGTATGATAAAAACAGTGCCTCATGGTACTATTTCTCCTCAGGTGTGATGTATAAAAAGTATAAAAGGTTGGTTTACACGTCCCCACACTTGTTGGCAAGATTTTGTAAAGTAAACTTGTCGAACGCAAAAAATTCGGATAAATGCTGCATGTTAATTTGTTTCACCGCCTTAGGTTTTTCTTTATAGCTTTAAACTTTTCATTATCCAAGGCCAATAGGGGTTTGTTCAGGATTCCGGTGAATTTTAGCCAGCAAAAATGCTATGACTTATTTGGATTGAATAGGTAGTACTTAATGAACAGTAAAACTCAAAATCAACATTAAAATCAGTGAAACTCAAACTCAGGGTTGCAAACAACAGAGTAGGAAAAATTAGCCTTTCATAAATTTGTCGGCTGAGTTAATGTTCAAATAAAATTGTGAGCAGTTTCACCATATTTTGTTGTAGTATTGGCTGTTGGGTTTCCAAAATGTGGTCATTTTTAAGAAGGCCACCATCGAGATGTGGTCATCTCTAGGTGGGCAGTCAAAACTACCACAAATACCGGTTAAACTAAAATTGTTGGTATTAATTTGAATTATGTTTGTTGGTTAAATGACCATGAGGAAATTATGTATAAGTGAATAATCACATCCCTGAGTTTGAAATCCACAAAACGTTATATTTTGGACCAAATTTGATTTTTTAGTATGATGTAAAAAAAATACATTAAATGATCTGACCACTGGACCTTTGTCCAGTAGATTTGTTGTAGTGTATTTACTTATATAATAAAGGGGAGGCAGTGTGGGCCCTCGAACTGTACGGTATAGAACAGTTACTGTGTGATTTTGAATTTCTAGTTTTAGTACTTGGACATCCTTGCCCATTGTACGACCCTAGGCTTTATTATTATCAAATGACAGAAGAGGAATGCAACACATTCCCAGGTTGTGTACCATTGATTCACTTCAAAATGGTTATGTGATTTAGAATTATTGGACCCTAAAAAAGACCGCGATCCAGTTGTTGCGAAGACCGATTAGCACTAACCCAGGGTTAGATTTTAACCCGGGTTTCTTTTTCCTTTTAATCAAAAGTGTTTGTCAGATAATTTTCTCTTTTCTTTTTAAAGTATTCAATCACCAAATTGTAGACAAAAGGAATTGAACTGAATTTGTTTTTGAAACTTTCATATCTGAATTCGTATTTCGCACTAACCTTGTGTTATCTTAACCCGGCATCTTTGAGGAACCCAGTCCAGAAGGATAAATGCTGCATGTTAATTTGTTTCACCACCTTAGTTTTTTCTTTATAGCTCTAAACTTTTCATGATTCAAGGCCAACTCAGAGCTCCTGTGATCCTGTAACCCAATAAAGGTCTGTTCATCTTTTAATGGGGCAGGGGGGAGGGCTTTGTCTGGTGGGATTTGACCATTTGACCCATAGCTCCTGTAGAATATGAAGACCCTCTCTTCATCCGATTTTTTTGGGGAAGCCACCCCCCCCCCCCCCGCTTCCTCCTTGTATCCCAAGATCAAATAACCAGGCTTCAGGTGAATTTTAGCCAGCAAAAATGCTATGACTTTTTTTGGATTGAATAGGTAGTACTTAATGAACAGTAAAATTCAAAATCAACATTAAAATCAGTAAAACTCAAACTCAGGGTTGCAAACAACAGATAAGAAAAATAAGCCTTTCATAAATTTGTCGGCTGAGTTAATGTTCAAATAAAATTGTGAGCAGTTTCACCATATTTTGTTGTAGTATTGCCTGTTGGGTTTTCAAAATGTGGTCATTTTTAGGAAGGCCACCATCGAGATGTGGTCATCTTTAGGTGGTCAGTCAAAACTACAACAAATAAGTCCCGTATGATATATGCCCATAATATTCTAGAATCAGTATAAATATTGTCGGAAATATAGAAAGAACCCTGCAGTATATGTATGACAACCCTTGAAAAACACAATATTTTACACCAATGTACAATGAAGTAATTTGGTTCCCTAATTCAGCCTGGAAGTGAGCATCATGTAATATTAATGAAGATGAATTCACAGCCATCCAACCACTAAATAGTTCTCATTTATAGGTGTTATCTTTAGTTTAAGGACCCCTGTGGTAATTGCTGTGCATAAGGGAATTTAAGATGTACACTCTCCCATAAGTTAATAGAGGAATTTTTATGACGATAGACAGGGCCGTAGCCAGAAAAAATAAGGACTGAGGCAATATCCATGGTTGAATTCCCCGCCTAGCTATTCAGGGTCTTTTTGATGACTACGTTTAAACAAAACACTGCCAGGATAAAACCTTAAATGACTGAGGCAAGTGCCTCGGTTTGCCTCATACTGGCTACGGCCCTGACTGTAGGAAAGACAGTGCATCAATGATCTGACTACTGGACCTTAATAACCAGTAGATTTGAATTAGCGTATTCGCTTTAAATTAGAAGCCCGGGAAAGGTTTATGCCAGGGGCACTGTCAGAAAGGGACACCTTTTTCACGCTTCAGGTATGAAAGGATAGGGATTTGCTGAGTTAAAGTATACGAGAGGGTAGACTATCTGTCATTTCGTTCTGTAGAAAGACTAACAGGAGAAATTTGTGACTGTAAAATTGTCAAAAAAATTAACTGGTTTCTGATTCCTTTATATTAAAATGACAGTGCATATAATATAGTTAACAGGAAGGATGCATGTAAGGGGTTGGACCTCTGGGCGGAGTCTCACAGTGTGTACAAAATTTTATTGTAACAATGTAATGTTACAGTTGAGATTGGAAATTTACTTTAGTCCCAAAACGAATCAAACATATAGGAAATGTCACATGCACATCACCTTTGACTGTCAGTAAATGTTATGCAGTTCACTATATTTGCTCCCATTGCAAATGTGGATAATTTTGATGCAAATGTGCAAATTTATGATACAGCCAAATGTCTAGAAATTTATTGTTTTTGCTCTTAAGGCAAATACGAGTAAACCGACTGCAAAAGTGTTCTTTTGGTATCCTGGAAAAACAAGAGCAAACACCACTACAAATTAGGGGTTTTGCAATATTTTTGCCCGCATTTGAAGTACAGTGAAAACTGTCATTTTTGCCAAGGATGTAAATTTGAGTAAATCGGTAGAAATGTTGAAGATTTGCCCATACCGCAAATATGTATCAAATTTGTATCAAACCATTACATTTACTTGACTTTAACGTATCAATACCTATGTAGCAAATATATGTATTTGCCCACACTTAAGCCGACAGCGCAAATGTAATGCAAATTTGGAGCTCCAAATTTACCACATATTTACACCTTTCGCAAACATTAGTAAATCCGTTTTTTCGTCCTGTGTAATGTACTGTGATCAAGAACCATTATGGCTATGCTATTTTTTAGTTGTACATATAAGGCTATCAAATCGATGTAAGATTAAGTTCACCCTTAGCTTGGACTGTTTGCAAATTATTTTTCTCTAAACTCACTTAGCCTTTCCCTCAAAAGTCACATGAATGTGCTCTAATTAAGTTAACTGATTTGTGGAATAAACGTTTACAATTGTTTGATTTAAATTATAAATTCGAGTTAGTAGGAGCTTCGGTTTTAGCCCTGGCTAAATCTATATATTACTACATTTTGGGCGATCGGAATAAATATCCCGTGACAATGACGTCACAATAGTTTTTGCTGTAAATCGAATTTCTGCTCCTATTGGCATTTTCTTTTGAAAATGCTTTGCGCTACCTATACTTTGGGTGCATGACTTCTATTGCGCGAAGTTTCACAAAAATCTCTAGGAGGAATTTCGTGATATCTTGGAATTTCCATAAAAAAGGGTCTAAATTATGCATGAACTGAAGGCTGAAATTAATGCAGATAAATTTCGGAGGTTTCCGAAAAGTTTTAATTTTTATCACTCGTTCGTTTTGCAAATGACCTTTATACACTCTATAACCAGCTAAACGCAAGTAGACTAGCGCGATTTCGAAAAAACATGAAAACATGTGAATCAGTCAAACGCAATGCTGAGCTCTTTTTGTAATTTCTAAGGCAACTTTCACGAAAACAGCGATTAAACCAAAATTCGTCGATACACATAGATTTTCGTTAAAAAATTTCGGTGTTGCAATTCATTAGCGTATAATAAAATCCCCGACTTTCGTGTCCATTGAAAACTTTTCAAGTTGTCTAACGTAGGCCCAAAATTGATTAAGTATTGAAGCGATGTCATAAATCTGGCTAATTTTTGTCTCTGGGATTTCCTGTTGTCTGGAGTTTTGCACAAAATCACATTCCCATGCAGCACGCAAGAATTTTTCGCAGGAGAGACGAGAAGAGACGTCTGTCATACAGGTTATCTTGCCCTTTGCTTGTAATTCCTTGATGGCGTCACTGTTTTACCTTTTTCCCGCAAACACTGTACCTTATCGACAACACCAGAGATGGGTAAAATATATTCTAACCATTTGCATTTTCTTTCGTATTTATTAAAATGTCCTGTGGATAACGCAGGAAATGGCATTTCCGAGCCCCTCAATTTAAAAATTTTCTGGGGGAGCATGGCCCCAGACACCCCTCCTTTGGAGCACCTTCGGCCTTCTAACTCTTTTTTTCTTTGCGTACACCTTCAAAATCTCTCGCTAAGCCCCTGAAATCTATACGAATCTCGAACACTTGCTTCTCACAACAGTTTCAGGAGGCGATTTCTCAAGTGAGCCATTATGTCTATTATCAACCTGGAACTGTTATGGTTTAGATATAAACAGGGAACTTCTTGAAACGCACCTTACTATTTTGAAAATGCATGGTCAAGAAAGTTCCATACCCTCTGTGTTATCCATAATATAATTTCTTAATGCAAATTAACCTGCTTAATTCAGATAGACTGCATCAGTTTTAGTGAAAGTTATATTAGTTATACCTGCCACAAATGCTTTGAGTGAAAAGTCTTTCGGTGCCTCAAGAAGAATCAAAAATTACCTTAGGGTCTACCATGACGCAAAAAGGGATGAACAACCTTTTATGCTGATGTCATTATACAAGGAAGACGCCGACAACTTAAGTCTAATTGATGTTGCTGAGAACTTTTACTCCAGAAACACTCACAGGTAGTCAAAATTTTGACACTTTTCATAAGCCGACCAACGTTGAACTTTTAGCTAATCAATTAGTACTGATGGAAACCACTGTATTTACAACTACGGTGATCATACTGGTTTGCATAAATTCCATAGCCTCCACTGTTACAATTATTGTATTATATTATAATAATATGGTACTTTTGAGTAGACACCCAGCGGACACCGGTCTCTTTTTTTCTATCGTCTGGTACAGCCGGTCTATAATATCTGTATTATACTCGGTTAAATGTCGTCATTTCAGACTAGGTATTCAAATGTTACGTAGCAGTTCATATTTTTTTATAGTGACAGTTTAAACATTTCTTGAAGATAGCACGAAAGTGGAAATAAACTATATCTAAAAGTGCTTAATTAATGACCCAGTCTTCATTAGAGCGGAACCCCGCTTTACGGACACCCGCTTTATACGGATCGACACCCCGTTAATACCGACACCCCCCTCCCCAGTGTCCTTATTAACGGGGTTTGACTGCTTAGACTTTCAAGATTTGGCGGGGGGGGAAGGTCGGCCCACGATAGTCGTGCCCTCTCACTTTCAAATTCGTTCCTACGGGCCTGAGTCAGGCGGTTTAATGTTGTTAAAAAGAGGCTTCTAATTTCCTACTGTGAGGTTTTAAAAATGAAATTCTTTAGCTCCCTCATGCTTAAGAATTTTAGCAGCCATTTGACTTGAAAGCTCTCTTGAACGCCTTCTCACAAGTGGTCTCCATTATTTCAATGAACGTGAACGTGACTGATGAACTTCCCGCTACAAAAGGGTTAATCATAGTGCATTGCAGGCTATGAAACATGGTTCACGGGAGGGAACAACCTTAATTGAAATAGGTGTGTGTATAGGTGTGTGGCATAACTATTTGTTGAGGATGTGTGGGGACTGACATGCAATTGCAATGTAAATTAATTAATGTTTTGAGCCAAGTTTTTGAAAGCAGCACCTCTTATCTAGGTTACGATAACCAAGCACGAAAATTCACAAAATTAAAAATAAATATTTATACGTTATTGACCAAGTGTAAGGTCAAGATGGATGGATATTGGCCAACTTATTTCTGCCCGCTCGCCCAATAAGCCATATTTTAATACTCACGTCTAATCCAGCAATTCTCACCTTCTCATTCTTATTAGTGATGGCAAAATTAAGCACGCTTAGCTTCTTCGCTTGTGTTCCTCCTCTAACCTCAACGTATTTAAGTTTTTCAATTCCCGGCACACTCATCAAACAGCGGATTTCTTCCATCGTTCGGCATTTCTTGAGGAGCGACACAGCGAATTCTTCGCAACTAATTATGAGCTTCTGGTATTCATTCTTAAGCTCGTATTCCACTTTCATAAGCTTTTCCAATTTCCGGTTTAAAAGGAGTGCGCGAATGATCGGGTCTTTGGATGTCTTTATATCTTGATCTTCACTGGGTGGAGTGTCGAGTAAATAAGACAAACACAAGTAAACAGGGCTAGCGAGCGCTTGGTAGCAATGCAGACGATGAATGGAACCCCCAAGGCGGCCTGGACCTTCACATTTATCGCATTTGCAAGATCGTTTATGCGGCTCGTCAATTGCGTAATCTTTCTCAAGAAAGATCTTCACAATCTCTTGATTGTCCTTTTTCGCAGCCACAATTAAAGGCGACATGTGCGACATGTGCTCACTACCGTCTTCCTGATCTGGGCTTGTTCGTTGTGACGTAGTCTCTGATGCTCCGTTGCTTTTTTCTTTCGTCTTAAGTAAAGCCTCCACCCAGAATGTCGATTCAATTCCGACGGCATGCAGTAACGCCGTGCCGACATCTGCTCCTTGGTTAAGAAGAAGTTTGGCAATATCGTGATAGTTGTTGTTCACCGCTATTTGAAGAGCCGTTTCTCCGAGGAGGTTTACGCAGTTCACATCAACAGACTTCTGCAAGATGTATTCCAGCACTCTGTTATAGTTTCCGGCATTAACCGCTTCTAGGAATCCTTTTTGATCTTCACTTAGCTCAGTCTCTCCTGTAGGATAGTCCGAAAACTCTGCGAGGTTTAGTTCAATTTCTCCCGCCATCGTTCTTTCTTCTAAACACCCTTCGATGATTTTCTGCAACAACACATTAGCCGACAATATTGTATTCTCAATCCCATTTCTCTAATTTATTACTCCAAGCAAAACCTATCAGAGATCAGTTCTTAATTCAGAACTGTCTTTCTTGTCATGTTGGATCGACGTCAACGCTACTTTTATTATCCTTCTCAACTAAAATAAATGTAAGTGCCTGTCTATTTATAGCCCACATGAGTCGGTGCGGTACCTAATCTGCAGGGGAAGAGGACTACGGCAACATGAAAGCTACTGCAACGGCATCACCACAGGTAACCCAGGTTCAGTGATAGTATCACAGTAGAGGGCCAGTAAAATTACAGTGTTTGTATGGGGTAAAAATGCGATCGTAAAACTTGTATGAAATACTGAATATAGTCAATGAAACTTACTCTACAGTTGGTTGTTGCCTTAATTGTCCTTAAGCTCAAACGAAGTTATATATTGTGTCCCCACCTTGTGTATTTTATTGAATGGAGGGGGTGAATTTGAGCAAATTATCACGAGACTTCGTTTGAGCAACAACAACTAAGAGCAGAATGAGTTGCATTAGTATTTCCTACAAATTTTACATTCGTATTTTTATCCCATACAAACACTGCAGTTTTACTAGAACCGTACTGTGATATTATCACAGAGCCTTGGTTACCAGTAGCAACAGAAGAAATGGCAGCTCCTTGCCACCGCCATCTTCTTGAAGAAATTCATTCAGCTAGGAACGGTCAATTAATTTATGTAGTTCTTTATGCCAAGCTAAAAAGTATTAGCTTTTACAACTGTCGGTTTCTGTCGACTAATCTCCACTTTTAATCGGGGGGAGGGGGAGGGGAGGGGAGTGGGAGGGCTTAGGGAACTCCAAAGTGTGAATATTGAATTTGTATTATTAGCATAATTAAAATGGACAGCTTTTGCGTTTCTTTTCTTTGGCTGTTAGGCAGCGAAACGGTCAACTGTAAGAGCTTCTATTTTAAGCTACTTTTAAAGAACTATCTAAAATTATTTTTACCTGCGGCATGCCTGCAAAGTGAATTTGAGTCAACTTCACACACATGTCCAATAAACACAAACGGATACGGTTCGTCAAACTGATGGTCCATTGGTGCCAATGGTACGATTGGTACCAATAGAAAAGCACCCTATTCCAATGGTTCTGTTGGTGCATATGCATCTAATTAAGGGAACTTACATTATTTTCCCATGTGACCTAGTTGGGTACAGGGCAATTCCAATGGTCCATTGGTACCAATGGTAAGAGTGGTACCAATGGAAAAGCACCCTATTCCAATGGTTCTATTGGTGAATATGCATCTCATTAAGGGGACTTAGATTATTTTCCCATGTGACCTGGTTGGGTACAGGGCAATTCCAATGGTCCATCGGTACCAATGGTACGATTGGTACCAATGGAAAAGCACCCTATTCCAATGGTTCTATTGGTGAATATGCATCTCATTAAGGGGACTTAGATTATTTTCCCATGTGACCTGGTTGGGTACAGGGCAATTCCAATGGTCCATCGGTACCAATGGTACGATTGGTACCAATGGAAAAGCACCCTATTCCAATGGTTCTATTGGTGAATATGCATCTCATTAAGGAGACTTAGATTATTTTCCCATGTGACCTGGTTGGGTACAGGGCAATTCCAATGGTCCATTGGTACCAATGGTACGATTGGTACCAATGGAAAAGAACCCTATTCCAATGGTTCTATTGGTGAATATGCATCTCATTAAGGAGACTTAGATTATTTTCCCATGTGACCTGGCTGGGTACAGGGCAATTCCGATGGTCCATTGGTACCAATGGTGCGATTGGTACCAATGGAAAATGATGCCATTCCAATGGTTCTATTGGTGCAAAACAAGTTCACTTTTACACCAAGTGAAAATGCGCTAATAATTATTATGAACGTTCCTCGTTCTATAAGAAAACCACGCAAAACAAGTTCGCTTTTACATCAAGTAAAAGCGCGCTATAATTCTTATGAATATTCCTCGTTCTATATCCCAATCACGCAAAACAAGTTCGCTTTTACACCAAGTAAAAGCGCGCTATGATTCTTATGAATATTCCTCGTTCTATAAGCCAACCATGCAAAACAAGTTCGCTTTTACATCAAGTAAAAACGTGCTAATAATTATTATGAATATTCCTCGTTCTATAAGCCAACCATGCAAAACAAGTTCGCTTTTACATCAAGTAAAAACACGCTAATAATTATTATGAATATTCCTCGTTCTATAAGCCAACCACGCAAAACAAGTTCGCTTTTACACCAAGTAAAAGCGCGCTATAATTCTTATGAATATTACTCGTTCTATAAGCCAGCCACACAAAACAAGTTTACATCAAGTAAAAGCGCGCTATAATTCTTATGAATATTCCTCGTTCTATATCCCGATCACGCAAAACAAGTTCGCTTTTACACCAAGTAAAAGCGCGCTATGATTCTTATGAATATTCCTCGTTCTATAAGCCAACCATGCAAAACAAGTTCGCTTTTACACCAAGTAAAAACGTGCTAATAATTATTATGAATATTCCTCGTTCTATAAGCCAACCACACAAAACAAGTTCGCTTTTACACCAAGTAAAAACGTGCTAATAATTATTATGAATATTCCTCGTTCTATAAGCCAACCACACAAAACAAGTTCGCTTTTACACCAAGTAAAAGCGCGCTAATAATTATTATGAATATTCCTTGTTCTATAAGCCAACCATGCAAAACAAGTTCGCTTTTACGCCAAGTAAAAACGAACTAGTAATTATTATGAATATTCCTCGTTCTATAAGCCAACCACACAAAACAAGTTGCCTTTTACACTAAGTAAAAACGCGCTGATAATTATTATGAATATTCCTCGTTCTATAAGCCAACCACGCAAAACAAGTTCGCTGTTACACCAATTAAAAACGCGCCATAATTCTTATGAATATTCCTCGTTCTATAAGCCAACCATGCAAAACAAGTTCGCTTTTACACCAAGTAAAAACACGCTAATAATTATTATGAATATTCCTCGTTCTATAAGCCAACCACGCAAAACAAGTTCGCTTTTACACCAAGTAAAAGCGCGCTATAATTCTTATGAATATTACTCGTTCTATAAGCCAGCCACACAAAACAAGTTTACATCAAGTAAAAGCGCGCTATAATTCTTATGAATATTCCTCGTTCTATATCCCGATCACGCAAAACAAGTTCGCTTTTACACCAAGTAAAAGCGCGCTATGATTCTTATGAATATTCCTCGTTCTATAAGCCAACCATGCAAAACAAGTTCGCTTTTACACCAAGTAAAAACGTGCTAATAATTATTATGAATATTCCTCGTTCTGTAAGCCAACCACACAAAACAAGTTCGCTTTTACACCAAGTAAAAACGTGCTAATAATTATTATGAATATTCCTCGTTCTATAAGCCAACCACGCAAAACAAGTTTGCTTTTACACCAAGTAAAAACGTGCTAATAATTATTATGAATATTCCTCGTCCTATAAGCCAACCATGCAAAACAAGTTCGCTTTTACGCCAAGTAAAAACGAACTAATAATTATTATGAATATTCCTCGTTCTATAAGCCAACCACACAAAACAAGTTGCCTTTTACACTAAGTAAAAACGCGCTAATAATTATTATGAATATTCCTCGTTCTATAAGCCAACCACGCAAAACAAGTTCGCTGTTACACCAATTAAAAACGCGCCATAATTCTTATGAATATTCCTCGTTCTATAGGCTAACCGCGCAAAACAAGTTCGCTTTCACACAAAGTAGAAACGCGCTAATAGTTACAAAGCGAGGGCGACCTATATATCTAGCGCTAATAATATCTCAAGGTGCTGCGAGTATAACAAACATCGTACGAACATTAAAATTGAAAGGTAACGCGTCACTGTCGTGTTCGTTCTGTTTATTGTGATTCACGAGCAAACAACAACATGACATATGAATGTCTTCTTTCCTGTACGCAAGCACTATTTTTCGGTAATTCTTACTTGTTAAAAGAACCCGAAACAAAGCGGAAAGGCGCGAAACTAGCAAAGTGGTATTGAGGCAACAGGTTTTAACAACTGTACTCAACTCACTGTGAAATTAACTTCTGAAATTTCTTAGCGCAATTTCATTATCTACAAGGAAGCGTTTAAACCAAAACAAGTTTTCAATGAAGAGTTTCCGAAAAGGGTGGTTATATCATGCTGTTGCTCCTAAGAGAGCCGTTTTATATTCAGGTGACTGAAGTCACTTTTGACTGTTGACGTGTGGTTTTTCGTGGTAACCCATTGAGGTACACCAGTTTGCTATAATCAAGGTCGTAGTAGAAACAATTGATGTATTTAATGTCAACGTTGTCCTTGACAAATTGTATTTGCCGTGCTCTTTTCTCGGCTGTAGCTTGCGGTGAGGCCCAGGACTGAGCTAGAAGAATCCATCTACTGATGATTTCAGGATTGCATCCGTTGCCGTGGAAAAACAGCAGAAGTTTGAATGTCTCCTTATCACTCATAAACATATGAATCGACGGAGATTTTTATTTTTTAATGGATGCATATTCACCAATAGAACCACTGGAATGACATCATTTTCTATTGGTACCAATCGTTCCATTCGTACCAATAGACCATTGGAATTGCCCTTTACCCAGCCATACCACATGAGAAAATAATCTCACTCTCTTAATGAGATTCATATTCACCCAATAGAACCATTGGAATAGGGTGCTTTTCCATTGGTACCATTCGTACCATTGGTACCAATGGACCATTGGAATTGCCCTGTACCCAGCCAGACCACATCTGAAAATAATCTAAGTCTCCTTAATGAGATGCATATTCACCAATAGAACCATTGGAATAGGGTGCTTTTCCATTGGTACCATTCGTACCATTGGTACCAATGGACCATTGGAATTGCCCTGTACCCAGCTAGACCACATGAGAAAATAATCTAACTCTCTTAATGAGATGCATATTCACCAATAGAACCATTGGAATAGGATGCTTTTCTATTGGTACCAATCGTACCATTGGTACCAATGGACCATTGGAATTGCCTTGTACCCAGCTAGACCACATGAGAAAATAATCTAAGTCCCCTTAATGAGAAGCATATTTACCAATAGAACCATTGGAATAGGGTGCTTTTCCATTGGTACCAATCGTACCATTGGTACCAATGGACCATTGGAATTGCCCTGTACCCAGCCACACCACATCTGAAAATAATCTAAGTCTCCTTAATGAGATGCATATTCATCAATAGAACCATTGGAATAGGGTGCTTTTCCATTGGTACCAATAGAACCATTGGTACCAATGGACCATTGGAATTGCCCTGTACCCAGCGAGAGCACATGAGAAAATAATCTAAGTCCCCTTAATGAGATGCATATTCACCAATAGAACCATTGGAATAGGGTGCTTTTTCATTGGTACCAATCGTACCATTGGTACCAATGGACCATTGGAATTGCCCTGTACCCAGCTAGACCACATGAGAAAATAATCTAAGTCTCCTTAATGAGACGCATATTTACCAATAGAACCATTGGAATAGGGTGCTTTTCCATTGGTACCAATCGTACCATTGGTACCAATGGACCATTGGAATTGCCCTGTACCCAGCTAGACCACATGAGAAAATAATCTAAGTCCCCTTAATGAGAAGCATATTTACCAATAGAACCATTGGAATAGGGTGCTTTTCCATTGGTACCAATCGTACCATTGGTACCAATGGACCATTGGAATTGCCCTGTACCCAGCCAGACCACATCTGAAAATAATCTAAGTCTCCTTAATGAGATGCATATTCACCAAAAGAACCATTGGAATAGGGTGCTTTTCCATTGGTACCAATAGAACCATTGGTACCAATGGACCATTGGAATTGCCCTGTACCCAGCGAGAGCACATGAGAAAATAATCTAAGTCCCCTTAATGAGATGCATATTCACCAATAGAACCATTGGAATAGGGTGCTTTTCTATTGGTACCAATAGAACCATTGGTACCAATGGACCATTGGAATTGCCCTGTACCCAGCTAGACCACATGAGAAAATAATCTAAGTCTCCTTAATGAGACGCATATTTACCAATAGAAGCATTGGAATAGGGTGCTTTTCCATTGGTACCAATCGTACCATTGGTACCAATGGACCATTGGAATTGCCCTGTACCCAGCTAGACCACATGAGAAAATAATCTAAGTCCCCTTAATGAGAAGCATATTTACCAATAGAACCATTGGAATAGGGTGCTTTTCCATTGGTACCAATCGTACCATTGGTACCAATGGACCATTGGAATTGCCCTGTACCCAGCCAGACCACATCTGAAAATAATCTAAGTCTCCTTAATGAGATGCATATTCACCAAAAGAACCATTGGAATAGGGTGCTTTTCCATTGGTACCAATAGAACCATTGGTACCAATGGACCATTGGAATTGCCCTGTACCCAGCGAGAGCACATGAGAAAATAATCTAAGTCCCCTTAATGAGATGCATATTCACCAATAGAACCATTGGAATAGGGTGCTTTTCTATTGGTACCAATAGAACCATTGGTACCAATGGACCATTGGAATTGCCCTGTACCCAGCTAGACCACATGAGAAAATAATCTAAGTCTCCTTAATGAGACGCATATTTACCAATAGAACCATTGGAATAGGGTGCTTTTCCATTGGTACCAATCGTACCATTGGTACCAATGGACCATTGGAATTGCCCTGTACCCAGCTAGACCACATGAGAAAATAATCTAAGTCCCCTTAATGAGAAGCATATTTACCAATAGAACCATTGGAATAGGGTGCTTTTCCATTGGTACCAATCGTACCATTGGTACCAATGGACCATTGGAATTGCCCTGTACCCAGCCAGACCACATCTGAAAATAATCTAAGTCTCCTTAATGAGATGCATATTCACCAAAAGAACCATTGGAATAGGGTGCTTTTCCATTGGTACCAATAGAACCATTGGTACCAATGGACCATTGGAATTGCCCTGTACCCAGCCAGACCACATGAGCAAATAATCTAAGTCCCCTTAATGAGATGCATATTCACCAATAGAACCATTGGAATAGGGTGCTTTTCTATTGGTACCAATAAAACCATTGGTACCAATGGACCATTGGAATTGCCCTGTACCCAGCTAGACCACATGAGAAAATAATCTAAGTCTCCTTAATGAGACGCATATTCACCAATAGAACCATTGGAATAGGGTGCTTTTCTATTGGTACCAATAGAACCATTGGTACCAATGGACCATTGGAATTGCCCTGTACCCAGCTAGACCACATGAGAAAATAATCTAAGTCTCCTTAATGAGACGCATATTTACCAATAGAACCATTGGAATAGGGTGCTTTTCCATTGGTACCAATAGAACCATTGGTACCAATGGACCATTGGAATTGCCCTGTACCCAACCAGGTCACATGTGAAAATAATCTAAGTCTGCTTAATGAGATGCATATTCACCAATAGAACCATTGGAATAGGATGCTTTTCTATTGGTACCAATCGTACCATTGGTACCAATGGAGACCCTTCTTATCACCACTAACACCAATGGAGTCTATTTGTGAGTATTGGACAACCCTCCAACTTCACAGGCATACAGTCGCAAAGGACTGGTGTTCTGCGGGATTTTGTAATAATGACGTATTTTGTTATAACTTGCTCATTTTATACCAAGGGTAGCAGCATTTTGTTGTGAATGGAAGCTACGCATTTTTTAAATTTACAGGGTTGCAGAATTTTGCAATAATCGTCGGTCTACGCAATTTGTGACAACGTTCTGACGCAAATTGTAATATTTTTGCAAGAAAAACTTACAATCAAGTGAGAAGAACTAAAGAAATGTTAAAACAACATCAAGCAGGTCAAAAAGTAACCATAGAACATTTGTGAAAACGTCTTGATGCAAATTGTTACAGTAAAAACCTGTGAGTAAGAACCTGCGTGTTCCCAAATTAGCCTAAACAGGTTTGATATAGAATATTAATTAGCATAGAAATAGGCTATTTAAGTTCTTAAATAGGTTTTTATTTCTTAAAGAAACAATAAAGGTTCTTAAATTGGGTTATATTTTCTGAAGAAAAAACAAATGGTAGCTAAGAATATTACTAGGCCAGAAAGACGGTCTGAATGGTGTTTAGTGTTCAGTGTTATTTGCCGAAACGTTTTAGTGTTTGCTGTTAAACTGGCCAATTTTTTTAATATTTACTGTTTTCGGAGAAAATAATGTTAAGTGTTTGGAGGGTTTTTTCGTGAAAAACCCATAGGGTCGGTTATTTACATGAAATCTAAGTTAGACCGCGGTTTAGGAAATCTTTGGACCTCCAGATCTCTTATTCAGTGGGTTATGTTAAGAGGACAAATGCTTTTCTAGTCTGCGCCATATTCTTTCATGAAATTTTTCACGATAAATGGCGTTTACATAAAAGCCTTCGACAAACTGAAAATGGTTTAGAACACGGTTTTGTTAAACACTGGCTAAACTCCGTTTAAATAACTGACCCATAATCTTTTAGCATACGCCACTTGCACATCTCCCATAATGCACCTTATTTGCCCCCCCAAATTTTGCATAACATTTGTTTGTCATTTCTCCTGGGTATTACAGCCTCCCAAGAGAAATTGAAAGCAATGCTTGTGCAAAATTTGGGGCAAATCATCAGGGGGGGGGGGGTAAATAAGGTGCATTATGGGAGATGTGCAAGTGGCGTGTTGTCTCCGTTCGAATTTATCTGCTCTTGGAAAATCGGTAATAAAATCACCCAAGAACTTTGAGCCTCTGCTCAGAGGGGCTGTAGTCTGTTTTTTCGACCTATGAGCAAGAGTATTCTGAGCTGGGGAATACTGGTGACAATCCCGTATCAAGTGTCACGATCCTTTGGTCAGCGTCAGGGCGAAGTCGAATCATTCCGGCATCGACAGGATTTCCCCCCGGTGTTGTTTAAGTTCTAGTGAGTTTTCAGGTACAAGTGGGGAAAATTTCTCTCACTGAAAAAGTCCTATCTGGACACTATAAAAGTATATTTCATTCATATGTGAATATAACGACGAAAATAAAGTCGAGAATTTTCATACTTCTCCTCGGAAATTTTCGATAGTCTTCGGACATCTTCAGCAGTCTTCGGAAATTTTCCTAAATCTTCGGTAGTCTTCTGAAGTCTTCTGAAATAATCGGGAATTTTCGCAAAATGGCCGAAAACTCCTTGATATACTAGACAAAATAATATTGGCCTTCTGGAGCCTTTTTTGTTTCAGTTGGAAAAATTTACTGTTTCAGTGAATTTTTACTTAGTGTGAAAATGCCTAAAATTTAACTGTTTCATGTTACAGAGCCAATAAATTAAGTGTTTAGTGTTATCGAGGTTCCCCTCATCCTCGGAGACCAAGGGGCAGTCAATTGGGTCAGAAGAAAGGGCGCGACGAAAGTTTTCAAGTACGGGCGAAAGAGCCCCTGGGTACCGACCCTCACCGAACTGTTTCCAAAAATTCAAGCGGATCCCAGCTCCTGATTGGGCACAAAAAATGCTTTGTATTATTGTGCCCAATCGGCGAACAGTTTCTCCTGAGTTCTTTTCGTGAGTTCCTACGTCGACGGCTACTGCCCGGTTCGTTCACCAAGCTTGTGCGAGCAAGGGAAACTTTTATTTTCTATTTCCCTAACCAGAAACGAAGGAACTACGGATGAGTCGAAAAAACGTTTGCTATCTGCAGGAGCAATTCAATTTGCCCCGAGAATACTCTGTTTTTGACTCATCACAATATATCACAAATAAAAGCAAGTTAAAGATGCGGCGGCGACGAGAAAGTCAAATAAGCAATAGCTTGACAGGGCAAAACAAGAACTTTGCACGTGCATCACACTTTTTTGTACATTTCTTTGCCGTCAACTGCACGACTACCCGTGAAAATGCCTAACTTTATGTTTTGTGAAGGACGTAAACAAGCAATGACAAAATTCATTCTCTTCATGAACTTGGATATGTTGATAGAAATTCAGCTCCAGAAGAGTTCGCTTGCCTTGACAAATAGAAATAGATAGAAACTAAAAAAATGTGTATTCCCTTTTCCATGCGACGTTTTCGTGGTTGTCAGCCGTCGTGTTATCTTTTAAAAATTCCCTAATATTTACGCAAGACGTGACCGATGCAAGCGTGAATACCTGTTGTAAGCTCAAACTTGTATTTTTGGAACAGAGTCTTTAGCTTTCGGGCAGACAGTATTTTGAAATCAGATGGGGATTTTATGTCAAACTGAAAGTTTCCTGACTGCGTGCATTCCTTTGGTGCATGAGCCAGACAAGCCGTGATTGAAGCAATAGCCGTCATGTACGAACTCACGAAAAGAACTCAGGAGAAACTGTTCGCCGATTGGGTATAATAATAATACATTTTTTGTGCCCAATCAGGAGCCAGCATCCGCTTAAATTTTTGGAAATAGTTCGGTGAGTGTCGGTACCCAGGGGCTCTTTCGCCCGTAATTGAAAACTTTCGTCACGCCCTTTCTCCCGACCCGACTGACTGCCCGTGGGTCTCCGAGGATGGGTTTCCCCATTCAGTGTACTGTCGCAATTTGTAATAATCATCGCACCTTGTAATACCTGTCGCAATTTGTAATAAATTCAGCGCACTTTGTAGAGTCTGTCGCAATTTGTAATAAACAGTGTCGCACTTTGTAATTAAAAAAAGCTGTCGCAATTTGTAATACCTGTCCATAGCACTTTGTAATAAACTAAGCTGTCGCAATTTGTAATAATTCCATCGCACTTTGTAATATTTTTTTTGAGAGTGATTCAACTTACTTCGTCAACTTTAATATAATGCCAAAATATGAATAGTGTGGCTGCTAGCCAGCCCAGGACCGCGCGGTAGTGTAATTTTCGCGCCCTTTTGGGGTCAGGTGACCAAGCCGTTATTTTTTAAGTTGCATGATCGTTAGCTCGGCGGTCAGAGATTACTTCGCTCGCTAGTTCAGCGATGGATTTTGGTTTTTCTGGACAAATTTATAATAGGCTCACAAGGTATTAGTCTTTCTTTCGTTTTCTCTTTTATTTGGTTTATTATTTCGCCTGTTGTAATTTTCTAGTTAAGTTTGTATTCGTATTTGTTTACTTAGTACATTTCTCGTCGCATGTAATTAAGATCTTTCTATTGTAGTTTCCTTTCAAGTTTTACGTCAACCTTATCTGCTTGTCAGTAAAACAACAGCCGTTTTTCAGTGTTGGAATTCACCGCGTTTGAGTTGTTGTCTCAATGTGGTCACAAATAGTACTTCGTAAACAAAGATGATGTCGTCTGCAAGCACGTAACTTACAAAATTAATTAACTTTAATTTCTAATTTATATCTCCGCTCATTCAAACCATTTAAACATTTTTTTAAATTAATGTTGATTAGTTATCTGACGTACGAAATTCTGTATTCTTAAACCTTGCTATTGTAATAGATGGTTTGCATGCAATGGTTACAGAAGTAATAGTGGCGTCTATATTTTGGCCAACTTAATCAGACGAGGCCTGTAAAAATTTAAAATGTAATTTACTGCAAATAAACAAAAACGTCACCAGTGGCAAACCGTCGAACCACGACAGCAACGTAAACACACAAAATCCAGTTAGTCGCTGGCCAATACCTTTGTATGTACCTGTTTTTATAAAACTCACTTGGGGTCATACAATGAGCCGTCTGACCATTTGGTCCATTATTCTCTCTTGATTTGGTCCCATATAGGAGAAAAAGGAGTATCTTTCCATCTTAAAACAATTTTTTTTCTATGGAGCCCTGTAAAGCAAATACCGTGGGGATAGTAAAAAATTCTCCTTCCCTGCGGACGACTTGTAAGACCTTGCAATTCTTCCGAGCGTGTTCAGGATTATTATTATTTTTTTCCACAAAATGGAAAGGATAATAAACCAAACCATCCATTACTACCTGAGTTACACTATCTAAGGATCAAACCGAAGAAACAAAGCCAACAAGGTAAAAAACGATACCCTATTTAAGGTTCCAGATCCTCAGCGATACTTACCTACCTAGACCATACATGAATATGGGATTATCCCCACCCCCCACCCCGAAGGCTTCACGTGTCACGTGACAAGCAAACATGGATTGGGACGACGAATGCCAGGTTATTCATGAATTTTCTGTTGTTAAATGTTGCTTTTGTTATTTAAATACTTCTGAATTCAAATATATGAAACGATTCATATCTTTTTTTTGGTGGCATATCACAGGAAGTTTCATGTCTTTCATAAAAGCGATTCTTGTTGGTCACGTGATTAATTAAGGCAGAAAAGACATGCATGTTTGACCAAAGAAAATAATTTAAGTTTATAACAAAGTGCGACGGAATTAATACAAATTGCGACAGCTTAGTTTATTACAAAGTGTGATGGACAGTTATTACAAATTGCGACAGCTTTTTTATTACAACGTGCGACACGGTTTATTGCAAGTTGCGACAGGTATTACAAAGTGCGATGATTATTACAAATTGCAACAGTACATTCAGACCCTCCTAGTAATGTGGTATTCAGCTTATTCCGTACAGTCCTTAAGTAAAATCTATGTACCAAATTACTGACCTCGTGAATTTTGAAGTCCTTCAGCCCAGGTGTACAGAATTTGGCAAATAAGAAACTCTTTGAAATCTTTAGGCGAAGCAGGTTGTTGTTTAGGTGGCATTACTGGCAAATTTTAGCCTCAGTTTCTTACTCGCAAGTTTTTACTGCAGACATTTCTCAAATCTTGCAGGTTATCAAGTACTAGAATTATGTGCTCTTGCCAACTGCTTCCTGTTATTAGACGTCGTAGGTCTTCAAGATCAACTCAGTTTTTTTAATCCATAGAGAATACTGTTACAATAGTCAAGGTCTAATATCTCAAAAGTATTCACAATATGCCTATGATCGTTGATCCAAAGATAGCCGTTTTGCAAATTAACGTGCCATCGTAAGTTAAGTTCCTGTCTATTATGACACCTAGGTCTATACAGGATATCGACCTCGCCGTTTTAGATGTTTATTGACTGTTGATACGTGATGTCACTTGGTTGAATTGGCAGGAACTTCAAAGATTTGGAAAGTTTCGGTATTTTTCCGGCCATCCTAAGCAATTGGAATTCCTCCTACATTTGGAAGGGAGGATGACCAGGAGGTACGTGTACTTACAATTAAATTTCGCCCCTGTTCGCAGTAGACTTTCCAGTAGTGTGGATAGGGTGTCCAATCAAGAACTCGAAGGGTCGTGATTTCCAATCTGCACTCGGCTATACTGGGTTCTAGTGTAGAATGTTGACATCCGGGAACTGTAAACTAAGCAGAAGGGACGGAGTAAAAGCAGCCTGAGAAAACAGCAGTCATTTCGCGACGACACCACTAGTTTTCTCGCGAAATGACGTCTGAGAAACGAGCGCAGAAATTAAGATAAAGATAAGATAAAAGCAACTTTATTTATCCACGCTAGCCTAGATCAACAAAACCTGGTTTCTATCAGGGGCGTGCGAAAATAGATAACTAAATGAAATAAAATTCCAGGTAGTGATTCTGAATGGCTGAAGAAAATTTCCCACTCGGCACTACCAATCAGAAGCACTAACCAAATTTGGGTGGTGACGCGTCATCAGTATGGAATTTCTGCGCTCGTTTCTCAGACGTCATTTCGCGGGGAAACTATGGTGGCGTCGCGCAATGTAGGCTGTTTTCTCATGCTCAGCATGCATGTTGGCGAAATATGACGTTGTGTCCGACTTTCGAACATCTGTGCGACAGATGGCCTTAAAGACTCAAGGACCGATAAGTTACTAATACACACTTTCGTATTTTTATTTGAAGTAAAAGTGTCCTTTTCGGTCCCAACTTGTCCTCAACGAAACTAATATATAAGATATTTTACCGAAAATAATATTCTATTTATACTAAACGCCAAGTAACGTATTGTTTAAGGTAAAATATTTGTTCAGAGTTGGCTATCTTATGAGTATGGACATCTTTCAAGATGACGTCTTCGAAGAAGACATCATTTTTATGCATTTTAGTCACAATTTATATAACCGTTTTATTTTACTCAACGTTACAACTTAAACACATCACGTGATAAATAATATAACAAGTCAAGTGATGTGAGTTGGCGGATAACCTTTGCAACTAATTAAAAGTTTTTGTATGAAATTCCTAATTACACGCTAACCTTTTAACTGATAAGGTATCTAAACTAATTCTTTTCAGGACAATTTCAAAACTGTGTTTCCAAAATTATTTTTGGAGCTTGTTTTGGAAACTGCCTTCAAGAGTTTATATCCAAGACACTTTCGGTAATCTCGGTGGTTTTAACCACACACTTTCTCTCACCTAAACCACAGTTCCGCTGTGGAACAAACGCTAAGGCTTTTGCTTTATTTTCCTAGTGCCAATCATGTGGTCTTAACTGTTACCTTAAGTTTGAGTTTACTACCAAGTCTCCTATCGATCAAAACATTCGATTTCATTTGAGCCAAAATCACCTTTAGGTAAATATCAACTAAACATTAGGTACATTTTCCCACATGGGAAATTTGGAAGCCATTTGCAAACTATCAGGAAACACCAAAATAAAGGCCAAGTGGTGAAACTGTGTCCCTGAAAATCTTATGGAATGGTAAAAGAAACAACAACAACAACAAACAACAACAGAAACCCTTTCTTAGCTTACTCGTAATTCGGAAAATTGTCTAAACGCGGGCGACAGAAGAATCTTTGCGATCTTTATTTTTCTTCAAAAAATCTTGCAGTTGAATTAGCAAGCCCCTCAGTTGTCCGTTCTCGTCCAGACTCACCGCTTCTGACTCTGGAGCAGCGTGGGACTGGGACTTTGACTTGTTAACAGTGAGGAGGTACCGCTGGATTAAACGTGTCATCACTTTATGGCGCTATAGGAAAAATAAAAAAGCGCTAACTTAGTAATTTTCTAATGCTGTCGTTTTACTTTGACAAACGCTGTATATAAGGCTGTTAGGGTATCCATAATGTCGTCAACTGAGTGAAAGCCTTCAAACTTTAGCAAGAAAATATGTCATAAGGCATGTCATTGTTCTGGTTTTAAAGCATGGATATGGAGCTACTTAGCAAAGCCTAGGAGAAGCAGGTCGCTTAAAACAAAAACAACTCGAACTCCTGCCTTCTTTTTTTGTTTGTTTGTTTCGAACGTTTTATTCGTCTTAAGCAATTGAAATCTGGAACTTGCGAAATCTATGGGAAAGGTTTTCACGGTTAAAGTATAATAGTATAAAACCCCTACGGATGTAACTATCAACTATATCACCCATGCATGTCTTCGCGGTCGGTCAAACCTTGAAGTAGTCAGAACATTTGAAATTTTGTTATAAAGAGAACTTACGGAAAAGAAATATACAAAATGAAAAATGCATGGCATCGCAAAATGGACGTGCTTTTCATTTGGCAAAAAGTCATCGTTATATAGTCCATTCAACTAGATTAGTGGGCGTTTTTTGAGCGACGCAAGTCAACCGGAAGTGGACTTTTTGCTTTTTTAATTTTTCGGGCAGATCGTCTCCATAAGAGTAAAGACACTAAAAAACCCAAAACGGTAGCGTCAAGGCCTTTTAAAATTAAAAAGGCCTCACTTCCGGCCTCAAGTCCGTCGGTCAAAAAGTCTTTGCTTAAGCTCCCCATAAAATACACAGTCTTACCAGTGTCGTATAACCTCCGGGTTGCAGACCACACGCAGCGAGCTACACTAAGGCACCATTTTTCTCCCAAAAAAGGTCCATTAAGGCAACGTATGAGCGTATGAGATTTGATAGTACACACCTGTAGTATATTTACCTTGTCTAAGTCCACCTTGTCTTTACTTGGAGTTGCTGATCTTCCTTGGCAGCTTTGATGCTGAAATTGAGAAATAAAAAATGTAAAGTACGTACTTAGTCCTAGTCCAAATGAACAGCCATAGAACTCACTGGCAAGACGATCTTTGCCACAAATTAGATGTGCATCATTTCTTGATTGCAACATCATTATTTCCAATAGTTTTAAATCTGACTGAGGTGCTTTGGTCAGATTATAGTTCTATGCCACTGTGCAGAGTAATTAGACAGATGATCCACAAAATACGATGCACAACAGATAAGCAAACTTACCTCATAGTACCCAGCACCTCTACACAGTCTTCGGCAGAGTTGAATCACTAAGTGTGGAGGGGGGATGAGGTTGAATGGAGGCGGCATTGCATTGCCTTGATCTAAATATGGCATCCACATCCGGGTTCTGGAGAATTTCCACTGAATATCTGCGTCATCCTACAGTAACATAAAATTTAAAGCCCGTAAGATTTAATTACGATTATGTATAACTCGTATCCTGACTTCACTGACACAAGATGATGTGATTAGTTTACCTACAATCACGGACAAAAGTCTTGGAAGACAATGTTGTTTGTCGTGCTGTCTTCGAATCACACATGCCCAGCCCCTCCCCAATCTCACAGACAAGATAGGACGCGTGTATCCAGAATTTTCCTGAGTTTCAAATTTGTATATGGTGAGGGGAAGGGAGGACTGCAACAGGTGGCACTGTTTTATGAGGGCACCCAGAAATTAAAGACAAATGCCAGTACTGCGTCACTGTCCCAAAGACTTTTGTCCAGGATTTTAGATTAGTTACCTAGGGCTGTAAAACCAGTTCGTTTTAGGGCATTTACAGCAAGGAGCCCAAAGTGTGACTGCTTTTAATTTATTCCCATTCTTTCGTGCAGGTTTGATCCAATCAGAAGCCAGCTGGAAACTGTCCTCGACTTCTGATTGGTTAATACCTTCATGAAAGAATATGTATTAATTAAAGGACGTCACACTTTTGGGCCCTTTGCTGTAACAGGCAAAGACAGTTGACTATTACAACTCTAATATCATCAACGGAGAGCCCATTGTTATCCTATAACGAGTTAAAGCTTGCCTGTTTAAATGTTAATAGTCCTTGGAAACACATGAAATTCGCAACATTTTAATTAATTCCCCTTTGGAAGTGCTAGCTACAACCAGTTACAAAAGTACTTGAGACACTGTACCGTATTTTGGCATAAATGGCCTGTCCATGATCTTGTGCTTGTGACCCCCCTCCACCCCTTATCAAAGTTGTTAGCAATACAAGATCATACTCAACACTTGGACGAACAACTTTGAATGGGAGGGAGGAGGGAGGTCAGTATTATATCTCACAGATCTGTGACCAGGAGCGATTTGAAGCAAGAAAGGTCGTTTTTTCTTGGGAGCGTCTCAATATTTTTGCAACTGGTTGTAGCTATTAATGAATCAAGACTAGATAGCGCTATTGCTGATAATGAAGTATATGTTCCGGTCTACAGTATAATTCGCAAGGACTGCAATCGGTCGGCTGCGGGTGTTGCTCTCTATATTAGGCAAAATCTGTCATACACAAACAAACAGAATTGACTTAGTGCCAGAGTCTCCGCAAATGATCTCTTGTAGAGATTATCATTCCTTGCCGCAGGTATTTTCTAGTTAGCACCTGGTACAGACCACCTAGTGCGGATGTGCAGCTCTTTGATGACTACGATTAATTTTGTTGAGCGTGATACTAAGATGAGCAAAGCGAAATCAGACTACTCTCACCACAAAAATTTATGTGTGTACAGCCACAGACCCTAAGACGGGTTGGAAAACAATAAATTCACTCACAGGCAAGGGAAACAAAACTACAGTACTCCTGTTAATGATATCCTCATTAATGATAGAATTATTTCTCACGATAATGACATTGCCGAATCATTTAATGATTTCTTTGTAACATAGGCCCAATTTTGGCAGCCGAATCAACGAACTCTCCCAACAAAGTTAATACATACTAACAACCTGGATCATACTCCAGTCATTCGATTATCTAAAATTCCAGTTGAAAGCGTCGCTCTTACGCTAAAAAACTTAAAAGTGTCGAAAAGTACCGGTCTTGATAAGATCCCTGCCAAGGGTCTTAAAAATTGCATCAGGTGTAATTGCACCATCTTTAACCTTCATATTTAATTTGTCTCGTTCCTCTGGGATGTTTGTTAATGAATGGAAAAATGGGCGTACGTACCTGGTTTACAAAGATAACGATCGTCGTGATTTAGGAAATTATAGACTCATTTCAATCTTGCTAATAATTAATAGAGTTTATGAGAAAAAAGTTTTCAATCAACTATATCGTTATCCAAAGGACAATTCTATTTTCTCAAAATTTCAGTCAGGATTTCGCCCTTTTCACTCCACTGTCTGCTTTACCTCAAATGTGCGACAACTGGTTTGAAAATATTGACAAAGGAAAGTTGACAGGGGTAGTTTTTCTTATTCGTATGTAGAGAGCATCATAAGATAACATTTACTTCAGAGCTACGAGATTTTGCCTGGACACCTGTGATGAATGGCCCCCACGCGGGGACAGCTACTAAAGTATAATATGACAAACTGCAGTATCCTATTACTTATTTATTTACCAGCTTTTCTGGACACAGGCCTACCCAGAGGGAATGTGTACGAACGGGACTCAGGTCCCATGCGAGGTGCCATCCCTACCCAATCCCACACCCCGTAAAGTTTGGCCACACAACCGGGGTCTACGACCCCTTCTCTCTTCGGATAGTGATGTGGGTTCTTTTACGTCCCACAAGAACAAATCAGTAAAAGTGCTGCGAGACGGGACCTACGGTTTTTCGTCCTTATCCGAGAAGACTAGAAAGTCTAACCATTTGCAGATGTCATTACGAAGGCAGCACTTTCTTCTCAGTTATTTAAAGACCCTGAGTGTCGGTCCGACCAGGCCTTTGAACCCGCGACCTCCCGTTTGTCAGACCGGCGCTCTCCCAACTGAGCTAACTAGGCGGCGGTTATCATGATAAATGTTTCTCTATGAGAAGCGGGGTCGTGAATTGTTCACCCAGGCCCCCCTTTGGATCACTCCATTCGTTAATTATCTATTAAGCAAAAAGAAAAGAGCTGATGGTAAAGGTAATGTTGACAAAGTGATGGCCTTGTCATTGAAGGCGTGCAAGTTGATCGGAGGAAATCAAAGAAACTGGGGCAGGAATGGAGCACAGGCGAATTTGCACTGGTGGAGGATGGTCCATAACAATACTCTCAGTAAGCAGAAATCTCAGACATACTTGGAAAACTAATTTCTTGTTGGTCTTAATTATTATTTTGGAGACTTTTGCAACGATTAGAACTATTTTAAGCCAGTGGCTATCGAAGTAAACTCTGAGACACACCCACTCGCGATCGTTCAATTAATTAGGGTGTTGACAAAATAAATGCTTCACTAACCGCGACTTGCTGATAGGAGTTTGTCATCATGGCAATCAGCATATTAATTGCAACCAAAATTGATGCGATGCTGTACAGGCCGAGGAGTAATTCACCTGTAAACTGTGTGATGGCGAATTTCTCGTCAGTCTTAAGGTCTTCCAGATCCGCCATTCCAAACAAGTCCCAAAATAAGAGCCTCAGGCTTCCTCCAATGCTAAAAGGATCGAACTGTCAGTCAAAACTTGTACTACACGATCTGAATTGGCTAGTTCCCGTAAGTAACCATTTATTGAAAAAATACTTCCTATCGCTCTCTTCAGGCTTTCCAATAGAAGCAAGCCGCGCAGATTCCTTGTTCATCAACTTAGCTACTTAGGATGTGTTAAACCTGATCTTACGTATATACAATATATACAACATCATGAAGAACCTTTTTTATTCAAAAACCTTCGATTTACTGGCTTCTCTGTAGTAGAAACTGCTAAAAAACTGGACAAATCTGAATGTTGGGTGGTAAAATGATGATGGAGAAATGAAGGTTTTGAAGGCAAGAAAAGAGGGGGAAGACCAAATGTCCCGAATAAAGCAGCTAAAATAGTTTTAAAGAAGGATAGATACAAAATGGGAGACTCGACAAGGAAGTTCTCACATAGTTAGCAAGCCAAATCCAGAAAAGGTCATGAAAAGCTGTTTAAAATTAGAGGCCCCTGAGATGGTAAAAAATCCTCTGCTTAGTCCGCCAAGTAACGCCCAGCGCGTCTTAATTTGTAAAGAAGTATAAAAGCCTTGCTGTGGAAGAAGGCCGGGATGATTATCTTTTTTAGATGAATGCCCAAAATACAGTTGAACCTCGATATAACGAACCTCTATATAACGAATACCTCGGTATAACGAACGATTTTCTTTACCCCAGCAATAGTAAAATACATGAAAAAGAACCTCGATATGGCGAACAAATTTTGCCAGTCCCTTGGCCCTTCGTTATATCGAGGTTCCACTGTATATTTGTTTTCAGCTGCCTAAACTAAACAAATATTGTTTGAGGATTGAACTGGCTCCTGCGCACCAGGTGATAAAAAAGCTCAAAATGGATCATCTGTGGGTTTACACGCTGCATCCCACTTCATGCCGCAACGGCTACAGAATGTGATAAAAGAAACAAAACAAAACAAAAAGGGCATGCCAGTTACCGAAATTCTGAAAACATGTACTCAATAGAGAAATAAACATCTTCTAGAAATTCCATGTAAAAATAAAGTTTTGATTAAAAGTTATAGTGCATGAAATTAGAGGAACGAACTTTTGGGACACCCTGTATTGCAACGGTTTCAAAAGTCAAGAAATCCCATCAGTGCTGGGATCTGTACATTTCATTTCACCGCGAGGTCTTTTATTCGAACAATGATCCAGCGAGCAGAAGCAACTTATAGTTCGTACGCGAGTTCATTTTGAGAAAAAAGAGCCTCTATTGTCAGGCCAAAAAAAAATTGCTTCGTGAATGTCCGTTACGCGGATTTTTTTAGCCTTTTGTCCGACTTTAAGATGCAATTTTAGCGGCCATTTAATGGCATTTCCCAGTCTATATGCAGCGGTTCTGTGTAGGGTGCAAGTAATAAAAACTTTAATCCCCTCAGCGCTATGTTTTTGGTAACCCCTTCGCGAGCCCTGTAGTGTGAGAATAGCCTTGGAAATGCTGCTACTGATGTGTACGCTTTTTATACAAATTTTTAATCAGACACTCACCTCGCAAATTCATGTTGAGTTGCATTTCCCACGAAGGCTTCCCTGGCTTGGACATAATGCGAATACACCTTTCTCTCCGCCCAGCCAAACGCAAGAAACAACAACAGGAACAGAAACAGAAATTTGGTGATGTCTCGAACCATCTTGACAAGTGAGAGCTGCAGCGGACCTAATACCGAGTTCACTTGGAACGCGTTGGAGAAAGAAACAAACGCCAAAACCATACCGAAGGAAAAAAACGCATTCGACAGGAGGATTAAGCGATAAGCGATCTCCTGAGAGCTGGTACCGAACACATCACTTACTGGTAGTACCCAGGTTTTCTTCCCTGATACAGTCAGAAAAAATCCAGAGAGCCACAGGACTCCTGATGCTATAAAGAGACCCAGCATGAACAGGGTGAGCAAATTCCAGTACTGCGATACGTAACGTTCTTTCCCTTGACGATAGGCCTCTTTTGCTTCTTGAAACAGCATACCTGCGATCCACAGCATGATAAAAACATCTAGAAAACAGTGCAATAACCGATATTAATTATGATGCAAAGAAGATCACCGCAATTATACACGAAACTTAAGAGGTAGCGAAAAGTACGCCTGAAAATTTTCAGGCTTGCCGGGATTCGAGTTCTGACCTCTGCGATACTGGTGCAGAGATCGGCTAACCAGTTATGCACTTATCAATTGAAACCCCGCCCCCCCCCCCCACCCGGGCCTATGTGAGGCTATGTGGGGGATTTTTATGGTATTTGAAGTCGTGGTTAGCCCGTGGGGGTGGGGAATTTCTCAGGATTTGCTTAGCATATTCATATGGCAGTCGGGGAACGAGGTGGGGATTTGACTCGTGCCTAGTTTGCTCACGGTAATTTCTTCACGTGATCACCGGTATTTTGATGTATTTGGCTTTGAATTTAAGTTTCCTAATAGGTGGTTTTCACGTTACGTCATCGCCGCCATGCTGGTGGACAGTAAACAAAAGATCGCTCATTAGCTCGCTTTGTTTGTCCTCCAGCATTTGTTCATTTCACCATGGTTATTTGTGTCTCCCGAGATTGCATGAAAACCACCTATTGTTTTTCCTTTCATTTCTTTTACTCCGATTTTGCCTTGAGCTTTCGTGGTTCGTTGACTGGAAATTGTTATTGTTATTCAAAACTTCTCAAACAATGCAGATACACGCTCCTCTACTTTTTATAAAAGGTGCTGTGTCACGGCTATCTGGTTCATTTTGTTAATATTGCCAGTTACGTGGTCCCTATTCGCTTTTGAGCGTTACGTTGGCAAAGAAATGAAGAAATCAAAGCTTCGTTTCAAACAGATGTTTCTCCCAAGCATATCAAGCGTTACGAACAAAAACAATGAACTTTGAAAAACTGTTAGGTTAACAAGTTTTCAAAAACCACAATTTCAATCGGTTTTAATCCTCTTCATGTTTTCCCATCTGTACCTTCTTTTGTATTTGCTGAGTCATTTATACCATCTTTTAATGTCTTAAGCGGTTATTTTTATGTTTCACTCAATTTGGTGGCAGATCCCACAGCCTACATTTTGGTAAATTTCGTGACACAGCTAGTTTAACCTCTAGTGTTAAACCCATGTGGTTTCTGAAGTTCTATATTTCCTCATTCTTTAAGTCAAAATATAAAATATAAAAGAGGACTTGGTTGGGGAGTGGTTCTGTCCATCCTGTACTTTGGCTCCCTGATGCATACCGGTATCCACGATATATCATATTTGTATCTTGGTCTGTTACCATATTTACCTTTTTGCTCTCGTAAATTTGTCAATAAAGAAGTTGAAAATTCGAACGAAATGTTAATAAAGTCAGTCAGGAAATTAAAAATGTCTCCCCACCTGCATGGGGGTTTTACCAGTCAATATGCCCCAGTAGGGTGGGAGTTTGCTAAGATTTGTAATGATGTCAAGTCAAATCCCCACCTTGGCCCGGGGTGGGTGGGGGGGTCGGGGTTTCAATTGATAAGTGCATTAGAGCTAGTAAGTCCAATGGAGGCTGGACCACCTCCCAGTTAACTTTGAAAGTCACCTTTAAAGTAACGTTATCAATTTTAGTTAAGGATAATGTCTGGGTTGTCTACGTACATTGAATACATCTCAGAACTAAATAGAATGTCTTAAAATAAGATATTCTACCGCAGAAAATATACAACACTTCTTACCTAAGGGTGTAAAATCAAGGAGATTGTAAAACTTGTCCTGAATGGACGACAAGACCAGGAGGACAAGGAACCAGAAGGACGAAGCGGTGTGACTCAAGAATTTAAAGACTGGTGTTTTTAGCAGTTTACTGATTCGACTGTTGGGTGCCACAAAATAGCACAGTGCTAAAGCTGGTAGCAGTAGACACAATAGCAGGCAGAACAGGGCCTTGTTTAGGAAGTTATGGTCTTCCCATCCTCCCAATTTGTCGTACAGCACAGAATTCAGCATCATCTGGCTATATGGATGAGCTACAAACTGAAAACAAAATACAGAAACATCATCAATGATAAACCTGGGAGAGCAATAGGAAATAAGACTGCAGATCGAGGAATGATGTTGATGATGATGATGATGATGATGATGATGATGGTGGTGGTGGTGGTGGTGGTGGTGATGGTGATGGTGATGATGATGATGATGATGTGGACGATGAGGGCAAAGAGTTGGAATTTTCTTTGGCGACCTTGCATTGTCAGTCTATAGGATCGCTTTATATTGATTCATTTAGAAGGGAGCCAGTCCAAGGCCTACTTGTTCGATATTGGCCTACTTTGTTAGATATAGCTATCTACTGGATAAATCTCCAGCCAGTGGATAACGCAATTGGTTTCCCTTACACTTGTCCTCTAGATAGTAACTAATCCGGTGAATAGCGCTCTCCAACTTTTGAACAATCAAGGCCAGGTAGAGCTGCCCGCTTACGAAAGTGAAGGTTGTGAGAGCTTTGACTGTGATGAACCCCAGAAAGCAAAATATCTTTGACATTTTACATTTTGAAATGTAAGTTGACTCATACCAAAACCAGCGCCATGAGCTTTCTTGCCCGTTCAGCCGGCAAGAATAACGTTTAGCTCGCGCTCGTTAGGCTAGATTGTGAGTGACCTTATCAAGTTTCATATTTTCGTTTTTCTTCCAATGTGTTGTAGTATTTATAAACCAATAAAAGCTACAGCACTGCAGAGAGGCGCCGAATCAAGGATTTAATTATACTTGTTTCAGCTATCTATTTTGGTCTGCCAAAAAAAATTTTTCGGCCCTTCGGGCCTCACTATGGTCTAAAATAAGCCCCCCCGGGCCCCTCCCCTGCATCTGCCACTGGTCTTACTTCCGTAAAAGTCAGTCTCACGTGTCGAATCCTATCAGCTCATGCATCTACCATGGTCTAAACATGTACACGCGCTGGACTGTAACGAAATTTTACTTTGTTCTGATGGTGTGACGAAGTGTTTTTCCGTACTGAAATGTAAATTTCCTAATGTAATATGAAATATGCATAATGAGCACGAAATGCTGCATGCTAATTACGATACAGACACTCGTACTCACCCTTTACTAAACGTCTAATCGTACTTAATTTGAACCAAACTATTTGCGATACTTTGCGTAACAATGCGTTAATCTTCAGCCAACTTTTTGACTACTCTCAGAATTTCAAACTTGAAAGTGAAGTTATGTCCTACACAGAAACGTAGTTCATGTATCAGGATATATTATGACACCCTTAGTTAAAACTCCGCTATGTCAAGGTTTTCAAATCATAACCTTTCACCAAAGTAACAGTAACCATAAATTACAAATCGCTCCTAATCGCTGCATATATATTACCCCTGCTACATCTACAGCTGTACTAGGTCTTACCTTCTCATTCTTGTTAGCTATTGCAAAGTTGAGAACGCTCAGCTTCTGGGCTTCTCTCCCTCCTCTAACCTCTACATGCTCAAGTGTCTCAATTCCCGGTACACTCATCAAACAGCCGATTTCTTCCATCGATCGGCACTTCGTGAGAAGTGAAACGGCGAATTCTTCACATGCGCTAGACAGCGCCTGGTAATCATTCTTAAGCTCGTATTCGTCTTCCATAAGATTTTCCAGCTTCCGGTTTAGAAGGAACGCACAAATGATCGGGTCTTTGGATGATTTTATATCTTGATCTCCATTGGGAGAAGGATGGAGTAAATAAGACAAACATAAGTAAACAGGGCTTGCTAGCGCACGGTAGCTATGCAAACGATGAATAGAACTTGCAAGACGTTTGCCTTCACACTGCCCACATTTACACGATCTTTTGTGAAAAGATGGCTCTTTAATCGTGTAGCCTTTCTCAAGGAGAATCTTCACAATCTCTTGATTATTACTTTGGGCAGCCAAGACTAGAGGTGCGATGTGTTTTGTATAACAATGATCTTCACTATCTTTACTTGCCTCCTGATCTCGTGAGGCAGCTGCTGTTGTCGCGTGGCTTTGAGCGTTCGGGTCTTCACCTAGTAACAGTGTTACCCAGACAGTTGACTCATTCGCAACGGCATACAGCAACGCGTTATCGACATCTGCACCTTGTTTAAGAAGGAACTTAGCAATTTCATGGCGGTTGTTGCTCACTGCTATTTGAAGAGCCGTTTCTCCGAGCAGGTTTACGCAGTTCACATCAACAGACCTCTGCAAGATGTATTCGCGCACTCCGGCATAATCTCCGTCACGCACTGCGTCTAGGAATTCAGTTTGATCTTCACTTAATACAGTGTCTCTTGATGGAGAATCCGTCAAGTCATCAAGGGTTACTGCTACAGATGGATTTTCGAAGACTCTTTGAGGACTTCTCGAAGCCATCGTGGTTCCATCGGATTACTATACTTTCGTTCCGGTTTCGTTGCCCATCAGTGAACACCACGGCAAAACGTCTACGCATGCGCCAGTTTGAGCATTTCCGGTCACTTTTTCAGTCACACTTTCCAGTCAGATTAGTCAGATCAAAGTTAGCCTGAGATCATGCCCTCTCCCTGTTATCCCTTTATGTCTCTCACAGGAAGAGTCAAAGCCTCCCGCGCGCGCTTGGCTTCATTCTGTGTGCAGCTTGTGGTTCAGTTGTTCTGCTTCATGCTGCTCGGGTTTTTGACTATTTTGTAGTTACTGAAATTGCTTTTATCGGATAACTAGGCACAGATTACTGAAACAATTAGTCGATTAGATTCAGAAAAGGTAAGTTGATAATAACTCAGTGTGTAATTTTGGCCAGAGCGTCAGGTAAACTAATTTTCATTCACGAAAACAAAGTTTTTGACTGCCATTTTTCACTTAACCTGGCTGAAACTAAAACATAAAAAATTGTCATTGCAAGCTTGTGTATTGTAGTTCTAATTTTCAGTTCTTCTGATTCGAGCTTTATTTGGAAAACGACAACACACAATTGCTTTGTAGTTTTATTTACCAGTGAGTTTTACCGTGTTTTGAAACGAAACACTTCTGAGTTGATTGCCATGAAACATAAGCTTAATTATACTGTTGAGGTTGGCAGCAAGTTGACAACTCTATTTATCAGTTTTCTCATTCTCAGAATCAGAGAGCGAAAGCTGGTTCGATGGCTTTTAGAAGTTGAAATTTTCATGCCATGTATTTAGAAGCTGGAAGTTCCGTGTTTGTATGAGACGCAGCCGAGCCGCACAGTCTGAAATTATTGAAGTCTTCAACCGAAGGACAACCGTGTAAAAGAATTAAATAGGCATTTTCTTGAATGAAAGTCATTTATAGGCATGTTTAGTTTCCCGACACTGAAAGCTCCGGGTGTTCGTGACTGCATGCAGTCATCAAAGTCTAAGTTGTTAGTAAATCCCTCCCATCTTTTGTTTTGAGTTCTTGTTTTCTCAGATAATAAAAAATTATTGAACGGACTAAAATTGCGTTTCCTGGTTCTAGTGTTAATGATAATGATGACGTCTTTATTTTGGTTTCTTTCACAAGTATTGCCATTCTTTTCTTAGTTATCGCCTTCTCCCAGAACCAGAAGCATGCAAGAAAGCCAGTAAAAACAAACTCGTCTTGTCAAGCGCTCGCGACCTGCAAACTTCAAACATCATTGGTGCAACCAGATAACCATGTGGTGCAAAAGTTTGACATGTATTTTAGGACGCATGGGGACCAGCAGCCGCCGTTTGCTTAGTCTGCTACACAGCCGTTTTTAGTGTCGTCACGCAACGCTACTCCTCACATGTGGGGAGGAGCATTGCGTGACGACACTAAAAACGGCTGTGTAGCAGACTACCGTTTGCTAGGAAGTGCAAACCGTTTTCATCAGGTGAATCAACAAAAAAAAAACCCTTTTAGTGTCAACAAAAGGATCACTGCGGATCATGGAAACTGGATTAAACAACATTGTTAAATAAGACTCATAGTTAATTCAACGATTTTATTCACAGTTGCTTAGATACAATTAACCTGCGACAGGAGTCCCTTTCAATGCAATAAAATCAAATTGATTCCTTTTGTCTTTGACTTAAGTCTTTTTAGAAGGGATTTGTTTGAGAGCAAAGATGATGCGCGGTGGGTAAGTAAAGTGGCCGCAAGTTACAACGCGCCTCGCAGTAGCATCTACTTTTGCGTGTCACTCTAGTGCGACTTCTCCAGACTCTCCCAAATGGAGGGCAAAAGAGCCAATATCTGCATGTTCAGTTTGAGCTCTCCATTATCGGTAGTGTCTATAGCATATGTAGCTTGCAGTATTGTTATGCGCGGGGTAGGTTCTTGGGCCTTTTTGACGGCGGAGTCTCGAAGGAATTTGACTTGTTCCCAATCTTCTTCCAACAGCATTCGCCCTCAAATGTTTGTCATTCTATTGAGGAGGGTTCCAACAGACCACACACGTGATCACTGTGCGTCACGTATTCGAACTTTAGACAGAAAATGATGAGAGGGTATAGTACTGAATATCTTTATTAATTTTTGTGACTTTCTATTGTCGTCGATAAACACTATTATTCAGAGGTTAGACTGTCTCTTCAGTAAACGCTTCCATATTTTATGTGAACTCATTCATACTCACAGGATATCAAAAAGAATATATAAAAGTAAGATATAAAATGTATGAAATAATAATAATAATAATAATAATAATAATAAGTTCTGAAAAAAGGCACCGATCCAATGTGTAGAATTTGCAACCAACACCAGGAAACAGTGGACCACCTCGTCTCAGGATGCCCTGAACTTTGCCAAAACAGAGTACGTACAAAGACATAATAAGGCAGCAATATGTAAGCACTATAGCATCAAAGCACAAGACAAATATTACAAACATAAGCCATCGACAGTAACTGAAAACAACGCAGTGACTACACTCTGGGACATGCCAGCCCAGACAAACAAAGAGATCAAGGCAAACAGGCCAAACATAGTAGTGAAAGACAAGGAGAAGAGAACTTGCCTGCTTATTGATATGTCTATCCCCAATGGAAAAAAAAAAAACACTTCTATAAAAACAGTAGAAAAACTTTCGAAGTGCAAGGATCTTGAGACAGAAATTGAGAAAACAAGGAAACCAAAAACAACAACTGTCCTGGTGCTCATTGGTGCTCTCAGGCTTGTCAAGAAGGGGACTGGAAACTACATCAGCAAGATCCTCTCAAACATCAGAATAACAGAGCTTCAGAAGATTGTCCTTCTTGGGACTGCTCAAATACTTAGGAGGTCACTATCCATCAAGTAATCCACGAAACTTATGACCGCCTTATGTTCATGGAATAAACTCTGCTCCATACGAGGAAAGAGCACGACTCCAAAGAGAATTAATCATCATCATCATCATCATCATCATCATCATCATCATCATCATCATCATCATCATCATCATCAAATTAAATGTTTTTTTTAATCGAAAGGAATTGTAAATAGTGTTTTAACTGAATAGAATTTTTTAAGCGAATTTATTGTAAATAGGATTTTAATGGTTATTATTGTTTACTGTTAACAATAATAATAATAATAATAATAATAATTGTAATTCAAATAATTGCATACTTATAAAATTAAAACCTGAAAGAGCTACACCGCTTCATTTCAAAAACAACACTTAAAACCCTTATTTAAAACCTGTTTTGTTTCACTATGAATTTTATAGGGTCGCCGTAAGTGCATATCACAATCAAAATGTTCGGTGAATCGTCAAGAAGGTAACCACAAAACGCGACCTTTTCTGTTGTTCCTAGTGTTCAACTTTCCTACTTAAGAAGGTCAAAAGCTATAACTTAGAGAGTACTGTCACAGCGTTTCACATGTTCTTATCATAATGACAACACAAATTGAACTTGACTCTATACGGGATAAAAATTCTTTTGAATCATAATAAAAATTGATGACTTATCAGTCTATTTTACTGTGGATTCTTTTGTTTTATTTCCCCCTTGAATACGAGCAAAGAGACAAAAAAGGGCCGGCCACTTATTCTTATGTTGGCATTCTACTTGACTTGATCAAGTCCGTAGAAGTTCACCACGTTATCGCAGAAAACTGCCTCCTTCTCCTTGTCAGTCAGATGTGAAACGCACTGCAAATAAGCTTCAAATGTCTTCTTGTAAGATGCGTCTCTTGATAGAGTACAAACTGGCCAATCAGATCCAGACATACAGCGTTCTCCCCCAAATACGGAAGTCACATGCTACAAAGGGAATTGAAAATCATTTAACAATCAATCACTCACTCAGGCTTTCTCATGTTCTGTTACATGAAAGTAAACTAGACTGTTCACAGTCCCCTATTTTCTCGTAAGATTGTCTGGATCGAGCGCTTACCGGTACGGGCGGCCATCTTGGTAGATTTGACATTCATCCAAGATGGCCGCCCGTAACGCAAAGTCTTCGATCTCGACAATCTTACGGAAACATAGGGAACTGTGAACAATCCAAAAGTAAACCTAACCTTTACATAAGGAATTAGGTCTTCGACTTTCCAGTTCTCTCTGGACGCTTCAGTGACAAGACCCGAGCTGCAAAATGAATGGGCAACTACATAGAGATCAACAATGAAAAATGACATAGACAAAGTAACATAATGCGCCCGAAGTCAAGTCCCGGAAGGGCGAGGATTACACCAAATCTACAGCTCAGTATAGTTCAATATCCTTCTTGCATACTTATTAGCATTTAGTTATGGGAAGTCACCCCACACGAGCAAGCTCGATGGGGAAGACACGTAGGTGCTAATAAAGTAAGCAGAAGGGGCGGCTGGGTGGGGGCGACTCCAACTAAAGTTAGTCAAACTAACAACTGTGAATAATTAACACATGCTTATATACTATGCGCGAAGTCTATTGAATATTAATAAGGTATAAATATTTCAATATCCTTCTTGCATACTTATTAGCATTTAGTTATGGGAAGTCACCCCAGACTGCGCCTATCGCTGTAGAATCCCCTACATAATCCTAACATAAACACCATGATGAACTCTTATCCTTCCACATCCTTAACTAAATTGAACTCTCTCAACCCTAACTAATCCCCAAACCCATACAACAAAATCTTAACAAATCGCCACAAGTCAATGAGGGTTGTCCATTACTCGCCACTTGTTGAAATTGTGAAAGTCGTGGTGTGTGTGTGTTTCTGTGTGCTTCAACTTGTACGAAGGGTAAAAGTGGTTAGATCAGCCTTTCAATTCATGCGATTGGTACTAGTCGTGAATGGGTGATAGTTCCGTGTGATAATTTGAGGTATGACATATAGTGAAAATGCATCTCACTTCCACGTGCAATTGGAGAACACGCATCTCATTAGCGACAAAAAGACTTGGTTGGCAAAGTTGTCGTGAGGGGACCCTTTCAAGTGGTACGACTCGTTCGA